GAACCCACACTCTAGCCATTACTCACATGAGAACCCACACTCTAGCCATTACTCACATGAGAACCCACACTCTAGCCATTACTCATATGAGAACCCACACTCTAGCCATTACTCATATGAGAACCCACACTCTAGCCATTACTCATATGAGAACCCACACTCTAGCCATTACTCATATGAGAACCCACACTCTAGCCATTACTCATATGAGAACCCACACTCTGACCATTACTCATATGAGAACCCAGCGCTCTGACCATTACTCATATGAGAACCCACACTCTAGCCATTACTCATATGAGAACCCACACTCTAGCCATTACTCATATGAGAACCCACACTCTAACCATTACTCATATGAGAACCCACACTCTAACCATTACTCACATGAGAACCCACACTCTAGCCATTACTCACATGAGAACCCACACTCTAACCATTACTCATATGAGAACCCACACTCTAGCCATTGCTCACATGAGAACCCACACTCTAACCATTACTCACATGAGAACCCACACTCTAGCCATTGCTCACATGAGAACCCACACTCTAACCATTACTCACATGAGAACCCACACTCTAGCCATTACTCACATGAGAACCCACACTCTAACCATTACTCATATGAGAACCCACACTCTAACCATTATACCAGTCAAATTTCCATAAAATATTCAAAAGTTTTGAGGCTGAGACAATTTCAAAGCTGAACTCGTCTGAGTAAAACAAGGCTACAACAACTAGAGATTAACTCTTAAGGGGGTTTAGCATCACAGGCACAAGGGGTAGTAAAGAGAGACTACAATTGAAACATCATGCCTTAACTGGGCTTCTAGGTAGGAACCTATGAATGTATGATGCATTCCCTGGGACTCAGAGGTAAACCTGAAACAGTGCCTTGATAACCAAATGAGGTAACAAGAAATTTCAAACCCAGAACCTAGGATCTAGTGTAAATAATTATCCTAATAACTCTAACACTGCCACGCTTTGCATATTCATTAGCTTATCTTATGCAAATATTTTTAACTGCATTTTAAGCATTCCAGTGCCCAAGGTCAATTGGTGTGATAATTAATTGTATCCCAGGTCAAGGATAGACAGGAAAGTTGGTCAGTATAAGCTGATCAAGGGTGTCTCACACTCCTTATCTGTAGAGGACTGACCTTGTAAATGTGAGAGGAGAGGCACTTGAGTGAACGAGATTTATCAAACACAGGTATAAATGTCCTGGGGAGCAACAGCCAGTGTGAGGATTTTGTGATAACCAGGAGCTACATTAAACCTTGGCAAGGAAGAAACCTTTCTAAACAGAATTTCATCATTGAGAATACTAATCATCATACTTATAAAATTGTATACGTTTTGACAGTAAACTGACAGAGGTAAATATTTGAACCCTTAACCCTTTTTGTACTAAGTGACTTATCATGTATCTACTAGCAATTTTTTTAATTTTTTTTTTATGGTGTGCTTTTGTTCACTTTTGACTCCTCGTCTAGCTGGTACTTTATTTTACTGTAGCCAGTTTTTTCCTGTTGTGTTATTTAGGGCTTTTCTTCTAGAAAATAGGGTGCCGGTACTTACTACAAAGTGTCTATTACAGTAGCGGTGAAAAAAAAAAAGAGAATTATGGCCAAAATATATCACCAGGAAAAAAATTTGTGTTATTATTTGGATCAGTTTACACCCAAAAATGCATAATTTTGAGCAATGGATGCTTCAAGAACAATGGGTTAAATTAGTGGTTATGTGCGACTGAACGAGATAAGTAGCTGTTTAATTGGCGACTTTTTTGTGTGTGTGCCTTTCTTAACTTTTTATTCCTCATCTGGCAGTTAAATTAATTAATTTGTTCTTGGTAACTGATTTTGTCCTATAGTGTTATTTTTAAAACCACTTCTCACCCAAAGAGGCATTGCTTAGTTCTCCTTCAAATGATGGGTCTGAGTGATCGCATTTAAAAATATACCCTAACAGGGCCTCAACTGGTTTGCTTTCATTTGAGTTGCATCAATCCCCCATCATTTGAGTGTTAGGGTTAGTCCTAACCCTAAACTCAACTCAGTAATATATATATATATAATCTATAAGTTGGCAGGTCTAACATCTACGGCTGCCAGTTTTTCAATTGGTATACCATTATTGTTAATTTGTGTCGGAGCTGAGGGTCTGCCTGCCATATTTGCTGAAAATAACTCCTAATTTAACATATCCCTGAGGCCCTGTTAAGGTAATTTTTTAAACGTAATTACTCAGGCCTATCATTCAGAAAAGAGCCCATTACTTTAAGCAGTGAATGTTTTAAGTATAATGAGTTAATTTTTTCCTGGGGTTGAAAGAGTTAAGTAACTGTTTAATTTTTAAAACAGCTGACTGTAACAGTGACGTGGTTTCTGATGAAGATAACAGAATAAAACAGAGGTGGTTTCTTATGAAAATACAGAATAAAACAGAGGTGGTTTCTTATGAAGATACAGAATAAAACAAAGAGGTGGTTTCTTATGAAGATACAGAATAAAACAAAGAGGTGGTTTCTTATGAAGATACAGAATAAAACAGAGGTGGTTTCTTAAGAAGACAAAGAGAATAAAACAAAGAGGTGGTTTTTTATGAAGATACAAAGAATAAAACAAAGAGGTGGTTTCTTATGAAGATAAAAAGAATTTAAAAAAAAAAGAGGTGGTTTCTTATGAAGACACAGAGAATAAAACAAGGAGATAATTTCTTCTCATGATGCAGAGAATACAGTGGCCTGAGAGAACAGCCAGTGAGAGGGTTTTTGAGAAACAAGTGGCAGTTACTTGTTTAGGAAATAAAATAGTTGATCAAGATTATTTAGCATTATTATGTAAACTGTGCCTTTGCAGGCAATTTGGCAAGCGACAATGGTATGAAGCACCATATATTCAGAAGCAGTGTCAGACTTCTTCTTCATCTGCCCTTCTTCTACTTTTTCCCTTTGTAGTGGCAAACAACTTAATGCAAAATTACCCAGTAAAAGCCACAAACAGCCAACAAATTCTGGGGTTGCTTTGCAATGTCCTCAGTATTCCTCAATCTTTTTACATCCGCGCCCCACCAAAACAGAGACATTTTTGGTGGCTGACTTGACAGCTGGTCAAATTCCAAAGAACAAAATACAAAAATTGTAGATAGTAGTTTATTTGTTAAATCCAGTGTCATGAAATTACGAATTTTTAGCCAATGCAACATCTGCTGCTACTCTGAGGTTAAAATATGTGATATATGTGACCTAAGCGTGGTTTCTTATATACAGTGCTGCAATAACATTCATTCGTTTCATTGATTGACATGCCTAAGAAAGTCTTTTTTACACAAACAGGAAGTCTTTGAGGTGTTAATCCTACAGACTGAAAGAAGAAAACCCCATACCCTACTTTGTTATGTGATTAAACAGAATCCATTGGTCTTTTCTGCAGCCCATCAATGGGCCGCAGCCCACCGGTTGAAAAACACTGCTCTAAAGAATATGCAGATTAATTTTTTTAAATGTAAATTTAATGGTAAAGAGGTTAAAGGAAAACCCCCAAAAAAACCAGGATGGCATGAGTAAATGGCACAAAATGGAGATTGGATGGGCAGAACTAATTGCAGACATTGTGTGAGGTGGATTATTATGATTCCTCCATTTTTTGCTAGCATTTTATTATAAGTTGATAAGAAGGATTTAGCTTCAGCCATTTAAAACAAATTTTAAGAATTAATTATTTAGAACACAAATCTAAAAAATATGTCAGAGACAACATATACAAATTTGCAGGACATCAGGAGCCTCTCTTGGCAGTGGTGAAACATCACAAACTAGCTTGGTTTGGGCATGTGGTGAGACATGGTTGAATTGCAAAGACTGTACTTCAAGGAACATTGGAGGATTGTCAAAACAGAGCAGGGCAAAGAAGAACCTGAAATGACAACATCAAGAAATGGATAAGACTAAGTTATCATACACTTATTCATCAAGTGGAAGATGGAGAAAGTTGGCAGGTTTTATGTGCTAATGCTTCCATCAATTCACCTCAGCGGGGCTAATGGATCAAGGGTCATGTTATGTATGTTATGTTTTTTAAAACAACAACAAAAATGTAATTGTACCTTTTCACAAGCTAAAAAGGAGTTTTTAGTTTAGGTTTGTGCCTTTGTGATTATGTGTTAGATAAAACATTTTAGTAAAAAGTAGTACAATACCCTTTGTATGCCAGAGGCACATCAGAGATATGACATCAGACATATGACATATGATCCTAGACTCATATTTGTATAGACCAGTCAGCACTCATGGGTGATGTGGTCACCATCATGTTGGTCACCTTATCTTTCCGACACTTTACCTGGTACCAGTTTTAAACTGTGTCGGCCTGGCAGTCAAAGTCATGTTTGATAAACAAAATCTATAATTTAAACTTTAAACAATAAATAGTCATGTTATTTGACTATTTTTAAATAGCCAATAATAATGCTAGCTGAAGTAAATACCTTAGTATAGATGTAAGTTAGTTGTAATATTTGCATTGTAACTAATATATCAAATGTCGTCCTTTTAAGGACGAAACTTTTTGTCATTTGAAGCCCTACTCTGGCTTTTGCCAGGGGCCGCAATATAGGCAGGTCATATATATGGCCAAATGTCTGAACGCGGCTTCTGGGACCTCTCCACTGCGATCCTCATCCACATGGTGGCACTTTGAGTCATCGGGTGTTTATCGCTTGTGTGATGTCCTGGTGGGGTAGAAATTCAGTTCAATATTTGCATTGCATTATTTCAGAGGTAAAACATTTGTATTTTTATTAATTTTTTTATTTCATTTCAGAATATCAAGAAATTAAACAAAATTATCTGAAAACAGCATCAGCACAAGTGAAAAATATTAAGCAACAGATTTTATGTAAAAGAACAGTTAACAGTGCAAAGAACAGTTAACTGTGCAAAGAACAGTCATCAGTACAAAGAACAGTCATCAGCACAAAGAAGAGTCATGGCTTCTATTGATCTCTTTGACCTCCTCAGTTCTGGCAACACAACATCATCACCATTTATCAACACAACTTCCTTTGCCAACACAACATTATCACCATTTTTCAACACAACTTCCTTTGCCAACACCACAGCTATACCAGAGCCTAGCAAACCTTTTCCAGAATATGTTGGCTACATATCAGCTCTGGTGGCAATTCTCATGTACGGTAGCAACTTTGTCCCGGTGAAGCAGTTTTATACTGGTGATGGTAAGTTCATTTCTATAGTGTTTTGTTTTTTTCTTCAAATTGTATCAATTCAAATTGCATCATCCCCTCGTGGGTTCTGTGACCCCATTTTGTGAGTGTGGGGGGGGGGGAGTTAGACCCCACTGCCCCCTAAAAAGCTTATTGTAAATGGCAACTAATTCTCTCTCTCTCACTTGTTGTACCCCACCAGGACATCACACAAGCAATAAACACCTGGTGACACAAAGTGCCACCATGTGGATGAGGATCACCCATGGAGAGGTCCCAGAAACCCCTTTCAGCCATTATGGCCACAAACTAGCTTGGTTTGGGCATGTGGTGAGACATGATTGAATTGCAAAGAATGTACTTCAAGGAACATTGGAGGTTAGTCAAAACAGAGCAGGGCAAAGAAGAACCTGAAATGACAACATCAAGAAATGGACAGGACTAAGTTATCATACACTTATTCATCAAGTGGAAGATGGAGAAAGTTGGCAGGTTTTATGTGCTAGTGCTTTCATCAATACACCTCCGCCATTCTTTGCCTGGCTATATCAGGGCCCCTGGTAAAAGCCAGGATGGGGCTTCAAATAATGAAAAATGTCATCCCACATGCGGACGACTGATTAACAGATAACAGCTCATTAAGGATTGTTCCTCCAAAGTTGAATGGCACTTACACAAGAGGTGACGAACCAACAGTCTGCATACAAATAAGCAGGTTTGTAAAATGGATGTGCAACCAAAATTATAGTTCTGGAACAAGACTAAAGTCCAGAAGTGAACAAGGAACAAGACTAAAGTCCAGAAGTGAACAAGGAACAAGACTAAAGTCCAGAAGTGAACAAACAACCAGAATTTTCAGCAAGTGAATGTTAAGAAGAAGAAGAAATTGCATCCTTTACTCTTTCAATACCAAGCATGCATATGAGATGTCTATCTCACTTATAACCCAGATGGGTTATACAGGATATCATTGTATAAGAGACTTCTGGCATAAAACGGAGGTTGAGACATGGCAGAATTTAAGGCTTCAAAGTTATTTTTGCTTCTGACTGCCCTTTGCTAATGCACTTTCCACCTATGGACAGTAGTCTACGGTTTCGCTGCCTTAGCTCCTGATTATATTTTAGTGCTTGGTGCAGCCCTGTGAGCTGTGTTTTTCCTGTGAAATGACTTTAATTTGTGCAGACGTTGTGTTATAGTATCCAGTGTGGTCTGTAGCCGGTTTATGTGTGAGCTGGTGAAATACCTTGTGTAATATTTTTATTCATTTCACTTGTGGATGATTACTATGTATACAGTTTTTAGTCTACCTCTGTATGTACAAGGTATGTATGTGTGGAGAAAGAATTGCAGCTATACAAAACCTGGACTTGTAAAACTACTAAAACCAGTCTACTAAAATATGTTTCCAGGTATGTTCTTCCAGTGGGTTTTATGCTGTGGAATCTTCATCGTTGGAGTTATTATACAAATCATTCAACAGTCAACGTTCTATCCTCTGGTGATGGTTGGCGGCATGATCTGGACAACAGGTACTTTCTCATAAAGTTTACGTGTTTTTTCAGTGTAACATCTTCACAATGTTAGCATACTGGCACTCACCTCTATTTCTTCTCTAGTCTTATTCTGTTTTTCGGAGTCAAGTTTTGAAGAGGCATTGGGTACGAGTTTTCGTGTGTACTACACAGATGGTGGTATTTATAGCCTCAGATATTCCATCTGTTCATCACTTGCTTGGCCTGAAATGTTGAAGGCTTTATACTTTATTCTGCAGCCGCAATAACGGTAATGAACCTGCATTTTATATATTTAATGTACATGTACATGAATACCTTGGATTGCCAGAGCAACTAACAACAATTGCTTGAAAGAAGCTAATGAAAGTAGATCTCTATACACAAGAATAAGAAAGAGACAAGCACTGTTCTTTGGCCACATAATGAGAAGAGAGATGTTGAAGAACATCGTGACAACTGAAAAGATCAGTGGGAAAAGGGGTAGAGGCAGACCAAGAGAGATGATGCTGGATGGGTTGAAACAATGGCATCGAGGGATATCATCAAAAGGGATCGTGATCTGTGGAGGTGCATAAGCGCCTACGCATGTTGGCAGGGCACATGATGATGATATGTATATGTGTGTGTGTATATATATATATATTATATACATAGATAGATAGAAAGATTGTAGGGTGGTCACTATAAAGAAAGCATCTTTTTCATGCGAGTGGTCCATCAAACAAACAACACTAGACTAATATTTTTCATAGACGAGTCAGCACTGTGTGAGTGATGTGGTCAGCATAGCACCAGACGCCTTTACTTCCCCAAGACATTATCTGGGACCCATTTTAGTTTTTAATCTGCCGCTATGCAGTTTCAAACCCCAAAAGTGGTTACAGTATCTTCCTTGCTAATTATTGCTCATATGGTTAAAGTACAGATAAGTCTAGGTTTCAGTGGATTGAAATGAATTCTTTCCGTACTTCATAGTTGGGGATAGAACCACCTAAATCAAATTAGTAACAAAGGGGGGGAATATAATATGAAAATAAACACTACGAAGACAGAGACAATGATGATAGGAAGACATAAAGACAATTTAGAAATTAAATTAAAAAACAACACCCTAAGACAAACAGGGGAAGTATTTGGGAGCAATTTTTACAACTGACGGAAAACTGGACAGAGAAATTAGCTCCAGATGTGCCAAAGCTAATCAAGTAATGGGTCAACTATCTCCCCTGTTGACACACAAGCAGATACCTCGGAGTACTAAAGTGAATCTTTTTTTGGCCAACACTATGCTATCAATGCCAAACGTGGACACTTACATCCTTCAATGAACGTAAAATTGTGACAACAGAGATGAAATACCTTAGAAGAGCTGCAGGAGTTTCAAGGAAAGACAGAATACGAAATCATGAAATCAGACGAATGCTAGGAATAAAGCCAGTCTTACAGATCATCAAAGAATAACAAATGAAGTGGTTTGGACACCTAACAAGAATGCCCTGGTACTATCCGCCACAGCGAGCCGCACTAAAACGTTACAACGGGTATAGAGCGAGTGGAAGACCTCGGAAAAGATGGAGTGATGGCATTAAGAACAGCGTTACAGAAATGAACATCAGTCTTAATAGGGCTCTTGACAGAGCCCATCAACGAAAATTACAACTCCCCCCGACACTTCGATGAGGTACAAGGTGGAAGAGAAGAAGAAGATAGTTGGGGATTCAATGTGATTGATTCACATGGCTAATGAAGACACCGGTTTTTTTTTTTGGGGGGGGGGGGGGGGGGCGAATACCTAGTTAGTCTTGCATCTTAGTACACGTATTTCTGCAGTGAGGTGCTGTCCTCATTTGGAAGTAATAGGTCCAATTCCCAGCATGGTAACTATAGCTTTTGATTTTTATATTGTCTAGTATGCCTCTTTAGCTTTCTACTTCTTTCTCTGAGCGCATATTTGTGCATGTTTTTTTTAAATTACATATAATGTCATCATGCAGTGCATTTATTGATGAGAATCTGTGATGCAGGAAACTTGTGTGTGGTCCCTATCATCAAAACTATCGGAATGGGTTTGGGCATGAGCACCTGGAGTACGTTTGGCCTGATCATGGGATGGGCAGCTGGCAGGTAGGCATTACTCATTTAACATTGTTAAGAACCAACATCATAGCACTTGAGTCATTCCCATAAGCGCTCAAATCCCCATTTTTAGCAGCAAGTGCAGGGTTTCAGTTCCAGCGGTTCCAGTAGCAGTCTGTTTTGCCTTGTCCCTGAATGTTGAGAGTCAGAAAAATTTCTTGGTTTCGGAATTATGAACTGTGTTGCTAACCCTTAATCCACAGATTCCATTCTACAGAGGTATATTAAAATAAGAGAGCTTGTGTTTTAATTATTTATATTGAAGATTTTATGTAAATGTGTAAAAAAAATCAAACAAGTTTCAGTCTAAATATTAACGGTTTAGTAGTTTCATACACAAAATAAAATAAGTAACCACAGATATGGAAGGGCTATAGAAGTGACCAGAAGAGATACAATCAGAAATCAGTTTATAAGTAAAAAATCTGGCCCAGAGCCAGTTCTCAGTTGTATACAAACAAAGCAGTTCACTTAGAGAGAATGCCTTGTGATGCTATGTCATACAAGGTATACACCAAAAGAGGAGGACGTAATAGACCAAGAACAAGATAGAAATACAACCTCAGAGAAACTCTACAACAGCACAAAATGTTTATGGTCAAGATAGCTAGAAGAGCAAGAAGCCAAACATTATATCTCCCGTGACACCTGAAGTGGTAAAATAAGAAGTGAAGGAAAAGAACAGTTTTTTTTTTAAAATTTGGACACCAAAATAGAAATGGTTCAAATTATGCACACCAAGTTTAACAAAAATAATTGTGTGTCATCTCAATTCTTCTTCTTCTTCTTCACGTTCACCAGCTGTAAACTCTGGCGGAAGGTTCTGGTTGCTCGTCCACTACTGAACTGCAGTCCTGCTCCAGAACCTGAGTGTTGCGTGTGCATCAGTTTTACAGATCTCATTCTCTTGAATACAGACTGTTGGTTCCTTGCCTCTCCGGCAGATGCACTCCGACTTCAAAGGAAACTTCCAAATTAGTCGACTCTTACGACATGCTTTTGGGGAGGCAGTGGGTCTATTCTTGTTTTCCCCACAATGGGGCCCCGGAACCCACACGGGGGTGTCATCTCAATGATAAAGGTTGGCTACAACCAGGCTTTTATTCTAGAAAAAGAAAGTTGCCGGTACTCAAATCAATGGGTTTAAAAAGGTGCTAGTATACATCATAATGTATCAGTAGGGCTGATAAACAAATAAAACCTTAAAAAGGTGCCATATGTACAATTACATAGCCCCAGAAAGGAAATTCCTGGTTGCAGTTCACTCACTGCTGTCCTGACGAGAATAGAATGATGACACAGAGCTTTCTTCTTCTTCTGCCTTTCTAGCCCCCAATGGAGCATAGGCCCTCTTCAAGTCATTCTAACTTTTGCCATCGCTTGCAGCTCTCCCCATCTTTCTAACTTCATTCTCCAGCTTCCTTCTCCGTGTGTTTCTGGCTTTCCTTTATTCCTCTATAAATGAACTAACCTGTTTAACTTTCCATTTTTATCAGATTTGGCTTCTTTGGTACAACACCAGACACAATATCAAACTCTGCCATGAACTACGCAGGCGTCGCCCTGGCCTTTGGTAGCATCCTGTTGTATTTGATGGTGAAAAATGAAGTCAGTAATGTGGAACCAGACATTGAGATTACTGTCACAGTTGATGAAAATGACCCTCTTTTACCTGCAGTAAGTATTTTAAGTATTTCAATTTGTCAAAGATTGCCTTAATAGGCCTACTTTATATGTAAACTTTGCTTTTCACAGATTTTTTTTCTCAAAATTTGTATTTCAAAGATCAGTAGTTTTATTTTACACACTTCTCTCTTTTATGTCATTGTTCCTTTGTCTTTTTACTGCTTTCTCTTACCACCCCCTTCCCCCCACCCGATTAAGAATAGGCAGCTTTTTCAAATAGCTGTAGTTTTATTTTACTGTCTTTTCTCTTTTATGTCATTGTTTTTTTTGTTTTTTTTAAAACTGCTACATCTAACACCCCTCCCACCTCCCTCTATAACCTCCTCTCTTCTCCCCCCCCCCCACCCCCACCCATCAGTGCATGTGTCATCATATTATCCATATAGGTAATTTCATAGTTACAGTTTTATAATGCTTCCTGCTTTCAGTGATATTTGCAAGAATAGCAGTTCCATAATGTGTTATAATCCTATAATTTCTTTTATCTGCCTCTTTACCACTTTCCACCCAAGTCCTAGAGAGTAAATGTGCATAAAAACAACATACAGTGGTGTTTATGTCCGCAGTTTGACACATCCCCTCCTCCCCTTCAAACTAGAAGTGACTGCTAGAAATGGCTTACTATGTGCAAAGAGTTAGTTCATGATGGCTAATGAAGAAAATTATTCTCACTGTAATCCTTTTTTCATCTAGTAGTAGTCATTTTTCAAGAATATCCTGCTCAACCCTGAGGGTTAAAATTGGCATATATAGTGTTAATGGAGTTCTCAGAGTATATATATTTTTAGTATTACATTTATCTATCATGTATCCTTTATTTATTTATTTTTTAGGCAAGTTTACAGGCTCTCATCAGATATACTTTTTTTTTTTCATTAAGCATATAATGAGACCTATAGGATTTGAACCAGTCCTCTTTTCTTTCTTCTGTGTGGTCACCGGCTGTAAACTCAGACGGAAAGTTAAGATTCTTTATCCATCTCTAGATTTTAAGAGTTATGCTGTTGATGTTATGAATTTTAATAAATTACATTTTCAGTCAAAATATCTTTTTTAAAGTTATTGCATCAGCCAGTCTAATGTCTAGAAAGCAGACTTTTAAAGTATCACATAGCAAGTAGAAATGTCAAGTTCTTTCTTTCTTTCTTTATTTAATTATTTATTTATTTATTTCTGTCTTTCTTTATATATATATATATATATATATATATATATATATATATATATATATATATATATATATATATATATATATATATATATATATATATATATATATATATATATATATATATATATATATATATATATATATATATATATATATATATATATATATATATATATATATATATATATATATATATGTATGTATGTATGTATGTATGTAAGTATATATATATATATATATATATATATATATATATATATATATATATATATATATATATATATGTATGTATGTATGTAAGTATATATATATATATATATATATATATATATATATATATATATATATATATATATATATATATATATATTTTTTTTTTAATATTCACTTTCAACACATATACTACTATCAAACAAATCCACTTATGCAATGTCACATCACTGATAATTAAATTTCCTACAGGAGCAAACTTCAATTAATGGACACTGCAATGGAAACCATCATTATTCCTCTGATGCTGAAAGACCTGTTATTGCCAATGGACATTCAGTGAGTAAAACTTCTTGCCTTCATTTACCTCACTAAAGTGGTAGGGAAGATGTAAGGATTATGCTTTTGCTCTTTCTAGCATACTGAATAAATTGGTCTTTATTTCTCTGAGATTATTTGTGATGTTATCATTCTATTTTTTCATGATCTTCCTCTTGATATTCAGTATATTTCTTCAAAGTAAGGCTGATGTGGTCAAGGCCCTTTGGGAACGAGCAGCGGAATCAGTAGAGAAAGAAGATTATTATGGCCTGGAGAGAATGAGGCACCTCGGTGTAACCAGAGGGTCTGGCCAGCTCACTACATTCAGAAGAAAGGCAAGACAGACATTTGTGACCGGTACCATCAGTATTGGAACTCTGTGCTGGCTGCTTAAGAGGAGGACGGAGCATGCATGAGAATGCCCCGAGTGCTGTGATGTCAATTCTTGACTCAATTCCACTTAACACAACCCAACTCCTTTCTTCAAAGTGGCTCTCTGTGGCAGTTGGCACCAGGGCAAATAGCCAAATTATTTCATCTGTAACTCTTTAATTGAATGACAGGTTCATGTCATGATCTTCTCATGTATTCAATTATGAATAGATACTTCTCACCTTTAGATTAACCTATTTTGCTTATAATCTCTATCACACATCTTCTATCTCATTTCATGACCCCCCCCCCCCTTCCCCCGGCCAAATAGTTGTATTAGTTGACGGTAAAATACTCCTGTGGTGTAATTTCACATTTCAATATTATCTTTTTTCTTTGATTGCAACCAGTTCATGTTTTCCTGATAGTCAAGGAAAAATTGTTGTAGCACTTTTTATTATTACAATGCTAACAGCTTTTTCTAATCTTCTGTATTGAGTTATCAATTCTGTGTCATCTACGCAACACAGGCTGTTTATATTATAACCTCCAACTCTTCTCCCTCTCTTTCATTATTATTTCTCATTGAAGTTGGTAATCTGGGACAAAACGCTTTACCTTTTGAATATATTTATTTTAATGTTTTAAAATCTCATTTGCATTATATAAATAATGTGCATTTATATGTTGTTTCTTTGACAAAAATCATCTCCCTCAGAATCAGTTTGTGCACTTATTTGTTGTTTCTTTGACAGAAATCATCTCCCTCAGAATCAGTTTGTGCACTTAATTGTTGTTTCTTTGACAGAAATCATCTCCCTCAGAATCAGTTTGTGCACTTAATTGTTGTTTCTTTGACAGAAATCATCTCCCTCAGAATCAGTTTGTGCACTTATTTGTTGTTTCTTTGACAGAAATCATCTCCCTCAGAATCAGTTTGTGCACTTAATTGTTGTTTCTTTGACAGAAATCATCTCCCTCAGAATCAGTTTGTGCACTTATTTGTTGTTTCTTTGACAGAAATCATCTCCCTCAGAATCAGTTTGTGCACTTATTTGTTGTTTCTTTGACAGAAATCATCTCCCTCAGAATCAGTTTGTGCACTTATTTGTTGTTTCTTTGACAGAAATCATCTCCCTCAGAATCAGTTTGTGCACTTATTTGTTGTTTCTTTGACAGAAATCATCTCCTTCAGAATCAGTTTGTGCACTTATTTGTTGTTTCTTTGACAGAAATCATCTCCCTCAGAATCAGTTTGTGCACTTATTTGTTGTTTCTTTGACAGAAATCATCTCCTTCAGAATCAGTTTGCGCACTGCCTGCTACTGCTGATGACCGTATGTTCATTGAGGATCTCTCCCCCATTAGGAAGAAAATCATGTAAGTAAAACTAACTAGTTCTGAGCATAATTTGAATGTACGGTGACACAGTGCATTGTTTATGAGGTATCCAGTTACCTTTCTTTAAACTACTTTTTAAAGTGTATCTCACTTATATGCATTTTGATTGTTGAGTAATTGATGTTACAGAAGAAAAAGTAGTATTTCATGGAAACAAGAACAGTCCAATACAGAGGTTCCGGAAAGGCTACAACTGAAAAGAGAGGTACTGAAAGAAATGAGAAAGGGACAACTGAAATACTTTGCCATATTAAAAGACAAAACACACTTTTAAAAACCATCAAGAGGTGGATGGGCAGCGGTCTAAAAGAGTGTAAAACCAGGACAAAAGATAGAGCATGTTGGAGATCCATTACAGTCAACCTTTACTATGGACCGACACCTGATTGGTTGATTTTAGTGATGTTAGATAGCTACATGAGACTGCTTGGCCATCTACTGGGAAGGCTGACTGGGGCAACAAATGCCTGCAGAGGTCAGATGTGTCGGCCGAAAGGTGCAAATATTGCAGCCATGTTGTAAACGGGCTTAACGCATTTGTCTTCAGATGGGCACAGAAGAAGAAGGTGACAATCTGATGAAAATGCCCTGCTACTGTCACAGAGAGCCACACTGAAGAAATTTAATGAGCACATAGCAAAGGGAAGACCATACTAAAGATGGAATGATGGCATCAAGAGTAGGCTAAAAGAAATAAAGAACAACTGATAAACTTAAGGCAATCTTGGATGTGACAAATTTCGCTTGTGAAGAGCAATTCGTTTATCCCTGGCAATTTTTCTTGCTTGAAATCTTATCTGGATAAGAGGAATTTCTGATAAGAACTATTTTTTTGGGTCCCTGGTGAGTTCTGCTTAACAGGTCTGCACTGTATAGCTCATTAGAAAGAGCTCACAGATCCTCACATCTTCCCCCAACAATTCAATAAGGTCGTAGAGGAAGAGCAGAAGAAGTAAATAATTATATAGACATATTTTCTTTTGACTTTATTGGTGACTTTTGACTTTATTGGTGAATTTTGACTTTATTGGTGTACGATGCTGTTCTTAAAAGATACTTTGGCACTGAGTAGGCCGATAAACAGATTTTCTCACTGTGATCCCAAAAGTTAATAGTGGGATTAATAAACCATGTTAACTAATCTTATCTTTCCATTCCTTGTGATCAAATGCACATTATATTAGCATATTCTGCCAGACTTTTGTTCCAGGTCTTTCTTGCCCTCCTATTTCTCTTCCTTTACTTTGTACTGAGTTCTGTAGTATGCTTTTAGAAAGATCTATTTGTCACCATTGCATTTTGTGACTTTTATCAGTTACTAAAAGGGTTCATGATTTCAATATTTGCACTAATGATTGGCAGACTTCATCATTTGTGATGTACAGTATACCAGTATAAAATAAACTCTCTATACAAAATAAAAAGATCTTGCAAAAGGATCTACTTCTTTGTTTGTTGTTAAACAGGTACTTAGCTTATTGTGTTATGATTACAGCTAGGCTGCAATATCTGCATCTTTTGGCCCAGTACATCAAATTTCAACAAACCCTAAATTACCTTTTACAACATGCTTTTCAGAAATGGGGAGAGGCATTCAGTTGAAAAAAAAATGTTAAGGACTTTTTTCCAAGCCTTCAGGTGTATTGGGTATATGGTGCTAGACTTTTATTTTATAGACCAGTCCGCACTCACTAGTAGGTCATGTGGTCAACATCACGCCAGCCACCTTTACTTCCGAGGAATTTACCTGGTGCCCATTTAAGGCTGGGTTGACCTGGGAGCCGAGGTTATTTTTGAAGAAAGTCTGGTTTTGTTAGGACCTGAATCCACTACCTTCGGATCCATTGGCAAGCATCTAGCTGCTACACAGCGGTGGTTCCCGAGGGTGGGGGGGGGGGTGGATCTGTAATCCCCCCCCCCCCCTCACCCCATCCTCCAAAAAGGGCCCCAGAACCCATATGCAGGGTGAAAGGATCTCTCAATGTATAGAGTTCATATTATCAGTAAGACTCACACAACGTCTGCTGCTCATATATTTCCTTTATTTGTCAGTAAAGATAACGTTGTTTTATCTTTAATATTTGATTACTTCTTGCAGAGGCACGGTCCTGTCTGTTATCTCAGGGATTTTCTACGGCCTGCAGTTCACACCATGCATATACATTCAAGACACCTACAAAAATGCCAGCAAAAATGGTGAGTTTGTTGTTGTTGTTTTGTTTTTAATTAAAAAGGGGTGGGAGGGATGTGTATTTTAAACTGTAGTTCAAAATGTGTATTTGTAATTCTGTTATTTAAATCTTAAATTATGCCAAGAACAGTTTGAGAACCACTAAAGACATGGACCGAAATGAAATGCCTTTAAAAAAAATGCTTGATGTAATTTAAGACACTAAATTGGATGAATTCAAGACCCCCCCCCCCCCCCCCCCCCCAACCAAATTAAGATAATTTTCTGGACAGCTGCTGAAATCAACAAATTATACCACACACACACACGTACATATAAAAAGATGGTGTTCTTTTAAGCACATCATGAGTAGAAGCAGACAGAGAACCATCGACCGTACTGAAATGGGAAACAAATAGACAGAAGCAGTGAAGCCACTAAGGATAAATACAAAGACAAATGTTGAAGAGTCCAGAGGTGCTGGACTGAATTCCATCCCTAGTGAAATGATTGTGCAGTATAGAGCAAAATGTAGGAATGGACTGCGAACCCATGCGCGTATAAAGCAACACAAGATTGTGATGAAACAAAGATTGTATATATATATATATATATAATATATATATATAAAATCAAGTAAGTTAGTTGCATATCCATTACAGGTTGTTGCTGTTGTGGTTTTTCAAGGCAAATTTACATTCAGTAGTTTGTCATTCCTACTGAACGGTTGGCTCTTGATATCACTGTCAAAATAAAGGCAAGATATTTTGCTATCATATCGTGTGCAGCTGGGATCGAACCTGCCACCCCGGCACTATCAAGAGCATTTACAACACCTAAACCACAGATGCTCACACATATACACACACACACCTCTCTTCTGTGATCTTTTGTATCAATGTGTAGTACAGTACAGACTTGATAAGGAGAACTCAACAGGGACCAAAGAAATACTTCTTCTTTTCATAAATTCCTCTCATGCACAAAAGAATGATAGCATATGGTAATTGCTGGGGATAAACAAATTGTTATTTACAACAGAAATTTGCTACATCCAAAATCACCTGAAGCAATCTGCACTGTACTTGTTCTTACAAGATTCAGCTAGTTAATATTTTATTTCAGAATTTGGTTGAGATTAATGTTGTTATTTACAATATTTGTTTTGTTCTTCAGGTCTGGACTATGTTTTTGCTCAGTTCTGTGGTATTTACGCAGCAAGTTGTATCTACTTCTTTATATACTGTGCTCTTAAGAAAAACAAACCAAGGGTAAATACATTTTATTTTTTGTATTTTTTAAAGTTATGACTTTTTCATAAAATGTAAAGACAGTCTTACAGGAGATATTACCAGGCCATTTTCCTAGAAATAATGGTACTGATACTCACTGCAAAGTGTCTTACATCAACGCTGAAAAAAGTTGCCTAAAAAAGGTGCTGATATTTTATAATGTTGCATACTGCCACACAAAAAAGGGCTGAATATTACTGTTAGGTCTTTGCAAATTTTAGGCTACAACACAGGTGGGGTGGCCAGTTTTCTTGCTCATGTCTTCCTTCTCAAACTAATTGACCAATTATGTGGTTTTCATTTTGATGAGGTTTGGCTGAAATATAAAAAAAAAATTATTAGAAAACCGTAGAAAAAAAATAGTAAAGAATAAAACATACAGACATCCTAAAAGATATGTGTCAAAGAAGATTGGCTGGTAAACAGCATCTTGTCTCAGAAGCTGAAATATTCTGGCCACATGGAGCAGCACTGCAGATTTGACAAAAATATGGCAGAAGGTATGGCACCAGAAAAGAGGGGCAGGGGCTGACCAGCACAAAGATGGCCACAGGATATAAGTGACACCTTGGGTAGGAAAGTGCATGAGGTGGGAGAGCTAGTGAGAGACCGAGTTTCTGCAAAGGACCTGCTACACAATGATGATGGGTCAGCCTCAAAGCCATACTGGTAGTAAAGTTAGGGTTAGATCTATATTTTGTCCCCATGTGGGTTCCGGGGCCCTGTTATAGGGAAAACAAGAATAGACCCACTGCAAACCTAAAAGCATGTCGCTTCCTTCAAATTGGACTGCATCTGCCTGAGAGGCAAGGAACCAACAGTCTGCATACAAATTAGTCAGATCTGTCAAATGGATGCACACACAACACTCAGGTTCTGGAACAGGACTGCAGTCCAGAAGTGGACGAACAATCAGAACTTTCCACTGGAGTTTACAGCTGGTGAACGCAAAGAAGAAGAAGAAGAGATTATTATAGTTTATAGCCAGTCGACACTTGGTGGATGATGTGAACAGCATCACGCTGGCCACCTTTACTTCCCAGGACTTCACCTAGTACCCATTTAAGGCTATGTGGACCTGGCAGCAAGGGTCATTTTTTTTTTTAAAGTTTAGCAGCTTCAGGACCTAACCTACGATCTTCATATCCACAGGCGAGCATCTAGCCGCTACACCATTGCAGCTACCATCATACTGGTAGTGGGGAAAATATGTTCTTTGTAATGAATGTGTTGTTTGTTTTTGCATCCCCCCCCCCTCCCCCCCCCCCCCCGAGTCTTTCCTTTTACTTTCAATGTCTATTGTATGTATAATCTTCTTGCAGTAATTTTCTCTCTCTCTTTATATATATATATATATATATATATATATATATATATATATATATATATATATATATATATATATATATATATATATATATATATATATATATATATATATATTTAAATCATATATATATATATATATATATATATATATATATATATATATATATATATATATATATATATATATATATATATATATATATATATATATATATATATATATATATATATATATATATATATATATATATATATATATATATATGATGAATGTTACCAATACCTTGAATGGCCAGAGTAACTAACAACGATTGCTTGAAAGAGGCTAATGAAAGTAGATCTCTATATACAACAATAAGAAAAGGACAAACCCCTTTCTTTGGCCACATAATGAAAAGACAGACATTGGAGAACATCGTAACAACTGGAAAGATCAGTGAAAAAATGGGTAGAGGCAGACCAAGAGAGAGGATGCTGGATGGGCTAAAACGATGGCATGAAGGAATATCATCAAGAGAGCTGTTCCAGTCAACCAGGGATCAGTATCTGTGGAGTCGCATGAGCGCCTACGCCAGTTGGTAAGGCACATGATGATGATGATGATATAAATAACAGTTTCCCTGCGTTCTGTCCCTACAGATATACCCCCAGACAATCCTACCTGGCATCATCTCTGGCATTATGTGGGCTGTGGCCACTTCCTGCTGGTTTATTGCTAATGCTGAGTTGTCGGAAGCAGTCTCGTATCCAATCATCTCCACAGCACCCTCGGCGATTGCCAGCTTGTTCTGGGGTGTTGTCATCTTCCACGAAATCAAGGTAATGATTTAAGTGTGTCGTTCTGTAGATTATGTTAACTCTTTCAGTCCCAAGGAACATATCATACGTTCATATGTTCCTACCTAGAAGCCCAGTGCACACAAGAAGCACTGATTGTATGCTTCTCTTTACCACCCCTTGAGCCTTTGATGCTAAACTCCCTGGGACTGAAAGAGTTCAGTAATATAGGGCCCTATTTATATTTTTGATGCAAGATCTGTATTTTTATAGAACACACACTTGATGAATAATGTGGTCAGCATTATGCAGACCACTTTCTATTTCCAAGGACATTACCTGGTAGCCATTTTAGGTCAGTTTTTAAAAATATCTGCCTCAGTCTGGATATGAACCTCAGATCTGTAACTCAGCATCAAGCATCTAGCCATTACGCTACAGTAGTTCCTGTATGTTAAGCTTTGGAGCCAATAGCCTGACAATGGAAACTATGGCTGTAACAAGGGCTTTAGCATAGCTTGGTACTCAAAAGTTTACACACGTATGCATTCTTAGTGACTCGATGAATATGCTTAAAAAAATCCAAGCTGGATTTATCAGGCAAGAATGGATTGAAAGACTAAGCACTTCATGAAAATCTGCCCTATCCTCCATCTTTGTGCCAGGTCATGCGGGTGTTCAAGGGAACGAGCGTGCAGACTATCTCGCTGAAACTGCAGTTGCTATGGCTGGCCCAGTACTGGACAGAAGTGATGTTATCAATGCCATGCGCTGCACTTACCATACTGAGCACGCCAAAGGACATGACTCCATATCCCTTTCTAGACTGATGGACATGAGGGGTGCAGCCCGGAGCTGCAAGAAATGAACATTTCACTAAGGGGACAAGACGTTTCATTAACTAACACAGAACTGGCGTCATCAGTTGTTTTACACTTGTGGAGCTTTTGAGGAGGAGATTGGAGCTCCTGAGGATCTGTCCGGAGTGCTGTGATGATAATCTTTTCTAATCACTAATCACTAAGCTTTGGAAAAAAAAAAGCAAAGAAGAACGAAGTCGGGTGACGGTCTGTAGCCAAATAAGAGTTAAAGGGTAAACAAATAATATGCAGATTAGTGTCATTCTGTAACAACACTTCGAATGTTAAATTTGAGACTCCCCGTGTGGGTTCAAAGACCCCATTGGGGGGGAAAACAAGAACAGATGCACTGCCAGCCCTCTCAAAAAAGCATGACATAAGAGTCAACTTATTGGGAGCTTCCTTCGAAGTCGGAGTGCGTCTGCCCAAGAGGCAAGGAACCAGCAATCTGCATACACAAAAGTCAGATCTGTAAAATGGATGTGCACACCACATTCAGGTTCTTGAACAAGCCTAAAGTCCAGAGGTGGATGAACAACCAGAATTTCCTGCCGGAGTTTACAACCGGTGAGTGCAAAGAAAGAACAACAAAAAAGAATAAGTTGCAGACTATTTTTTTAACATATTTTGATTAGCAACATGCTTGAGAACTTAGTGACAACTGGCAAGATTTATGGAAAAAGAGCAAGGGGAAGGCAAAGAGATGAATACCTGGATGGCTTAGCCTAATGGATGGGAGCAAGACAAGAACATTGACCTGATCTGTTATCATGTAAGATCACGAAACATGAAAACCTACTCTTATCAGATGATATCACATGAAGATGATATGTTAAATCACAGCATATTTAATCATAACCTTTACCTTTTGTTTCACAGGGCCGGAGGAACATCTTGATACTTCTACTGGCATTCTGCGTGATGTCTGCCGGTGCAATCCTAGCTGGGCTTTCAAAATAGCACTACACCTCATCTCAGTTTCTGGCAAGAATGGGCATTACCTAATATCATAGTATTAATTTTGGTTGTTTGTAAATATTGAGCTCATGTTGTATGAGTTCAAGCTGGCAAAAAATCTCACTTCCTTTGTTGTATTTTGTTGGCAACACTGGAAAATCGACACCTTAACAAGCTTTCAATTGTGTGTACATGTGTGTGAGTGTACATACATGTGTGAATATACATATATGTTTGTGAGTGTACATACATGTGTGTGTGTGTACATGCATGTGTGCGTGAGTGTACATACATGTGTGTGAGTGTATATACATGCGTGAATGTACATTTGTTTTAGCAACAATAGAATATTGACATCTTAAAAGCTTTTAACTGTGTGTGCATATCTCTAGGTCAGTGTATCTAGCTTTGGCAAGCAATTTGTAAAGTCTGCTCTAGACAACTTCCATATTAAGAAACAGGTTCTGTCTACCAGTGGGTAGGTATTATTACCTGAAGAACATTGCGAAGGCACTGCCCGTACATCCTGCAGCTTCTGAATTTCTACAATATGGAATTCCTTATTTGTAAATTTTATAGACAGCAGCTCCTGTGTTCTGCCCTTATCTGACAAGTATTTAGTCTCACTATTCAAGAAATAAAGGGAACCTGTGCTATCATTAGAAACAATGGCTCTCGAAAAACATCCTAGTTCTAAACTTGGATTTGAACCCTGTAATTTCGAAGCCAGAGGTGAACAATTGAAACCTCTCAGCCATGCCCTTTAGTGATGTATGCGACAGGAAAAACTAAGTAATGTGTTTTGTCTCTCTTTTAGCACATCTCATGTACATTCGTATTGGCCAGTGGGGGAAAAAAACGTTAGCATAAAACTGCATGTATAATCTTAAGTATTTACCTTTGAGAAATGTATTTTCATCTATTTGTATTGATTTTCATCTATTTGTATTCATTGTCATCTATTTGTATTGAATATACTAAGTGCTGTATTTAGTCATGTGCAGTGTATGCAGCTACACAGGGTTGCAACATTTTTGGAGAGATAAAATATAGGAGCATAGAAATAAAGGAAGACCAAAAAACACACGGAGAAAGAAGTTAGAGAGTGATTTTAAAACGATGGGAATAACTGCATGCAACAGAACAACTTTGCATGAGTTGGTTGAGGGCCTATGTTCCATTGGGGGTTAGAAGGTGGAAAAGTAGTAGTAAAAAGATAAGATTTTTATTTATTTCATTATTATGAAACCAGCATGTTTACCATATATTTTTATCTTCAGAATAACGTATAAAATGTTAACTTGAACATCTGTTTCATATTTGGTATAAGTGTTTCGTCCTTTTTAGGACGAAATTTTTTGTTATTTGAAGCCCCACTCTGGCTTTTGCCAGGGGCCGCAATATAGGCAGGCCATAAATATGGCCAATTGTCTGAACGCGGTTTCTGGGACCTCTCCACGGCGATCCTCATCCACATGGTGGCACTTTGTGTCATCAGGTGTTTATCACTTGTGTGATGTCCTGGTGGGGTAGAAAGTCAGTCAGTCAGTCATTTGTTTCATCTGTTGCAAGTCCAGCTTAAATACTAGATAAAAACTTAAGTCAATAATTCTGCAGCTTATTGTGGGTAGAATTTGTAGCAGATACTGAACAGGTGCCTCAACCACATTGAAAATTAGCAAGAGCACATTACTTACAAACAAAATCTTCATTGTGCTGGCTATCAGCATATCTAGCCAGGTGTCGTTAGGATGCTGCAGCCAAAATGTTAGAAATCTAATCCAACACCATGCATTGGTTGATACGCATGGACAGTAATCAAACACATGTGGTGTAGGTTTGGGACATTAAGAGTTAAAACTATAGGTCTAGCAACCACATGCCCAATATGGCAATGGCCTGTAAGGGTCCTTTCAACATCATCATCATCCATTTGGGCTATCCTCCGAATAACGGGCACAAAATATGGCGGCCAAAAACAGGGCCTCAGTCACGTGTCAATTGTGCACTTCCGGCGACCTAATTTGTGGTTTTCCGGTGTGGATTTGGGTTAAACTAGATGGCTGGGACTAACGAGCAAGCTGCAGGAGATGCGGAAGCTGCTGCTCGTGAGTCCCAGCCATCTAGTTTAGCCCCAATTCACGCCGCTCATACTCATACTCTCGGCGGTGGCGGTAGTCGCCGGAAAATCGCAAATTAGGTCGCCGACACGTGACTGAGGCTCTGTTAGGTTTTTGCGGCCACCATATTTTGTGCCTGTTATTCAGAGGATAGCCTCCATTTGTACCGTGATATGGGCCCCAGTTGATTCTTCCATTTTGTTCCATTCTGAACAATTGTTTCAGTAGCAAGGATGGAATCCAGTTCGGCAGTTCTGGAGTCTTTCTATCTTTGACCTTTACTTAGTGATTAGAAAGGATTATCATCACAGCACTCCGGACAGATCCATATCTGCTTCAATCTCCCCCTCAACATCTCCACAAGTGTAAAACAACTAATGACGCCTGTTCTGTTGGTTAATGAAATGTTTGCCGCCTTACTGACTTTTACTTCTTTATCAGGATGCATAATTTGTCAAATAAAATGCTTTATGTTTTCGAGTGTCACTACATATTTTGTATTCCACCAAGTGATGTATATAGTTCATGATTTTGTGTACTGACTTTTGATTAAAAATTGATTTTTCAACATGCAGATATTTTCTTTATCAGAGTTGCTTTTTATGTTTAAATCACTATTGATCACTGGCATCATAAGAGCTAATAGACAGCAATGGCTGGGGCCTGCTGAGAGAATGTCAAATGACAGAGAGGTAAAAAACTGTATACATAAGGGAGCTAAATGCTTGTAGACCACGAGGTAGACCAAAAAGAATATGGAGAGATAATCTTCTTCTTCTCCGTGTTCACCGACTGTAAACTCCAGCGGAAAGTTCTGGTTGTTCATCCACTTCTGGACTAGTAGTCCTTTTCCAGAAACACTGTTGTGTATTAAAGTTTCATAGGTCTGACTCATTTGCATGCACACTGTGGGCTCCTTGCCTCTCAGGCAGATGTTCGCCGACTTCAAAGGAAGCTCCCAAATCGTCTACTCTTACAACATGCTTTTGGGCAGGCAATGGGTCTATTCTTGTTTTCCCCACAATGGGGCCCTGGAACCCACACTGGGAGATGGAGAGATAATGTCTAGACGGACCTGCAAACACTTGGTGATACGAACTGGAAAGAGAAGGCCAGCCAGAGAGATGAATGGAGGCAGGTGATATCTGCTGCAATGAATCCCAAGGGCTCGGAATAATAAAGAAGAAGAAGAGCTGTTTTTTGCTTTTTAAAGTAGTGTCCACACAAGAGATCAGATACTTCAAATTTATATTGTGTTAACTGAGATTATTGCAATCAATCAATCATCATCACATTCAGAGGCATATAAGGCAGAGACAAACTGTCGCCTTTCATATCAATCCTGAGCCATCCTATCTCCAGTTTTGTCCCTCCCGCACCCTTGACTTCAGTCTCAAAGGTTGGCCACCAAGAGCATCTGCCTCTTCCTCGCTGTTCTAGTGGTGTTCATTGCACTGCATGTCTTGGCCGTCTCTCTTTCTTCTTTCTGAGGACATGACCAATCCACCTCCATCTTCGGTTTTTACCGTTTATTTAGGCTTCCAAATAAGTTTGTGTGTCCCTGTAGGCTCATCTTAGTTTTGTGTGTCCCTGTAGGTTCATCTTAGTTTTGTGTGTCTCTGTAGGCTCATCTTAGTTTTGTGTGTCTCTGTAGGCTCATCTTAGTTTTGTGTGTCCCTGTAGGTTCATCTTAGTTTTGTGTGTCTCTGTAGGCTCATCTTAGTTGTGTGTGTCTCTGTAGGCTCATCTTAGTTTTGTGTGTCTCTGTAGGCTCATCTTAGTTTTGTGTGTCTCTGTAGGCTCATCTTAGTTTTGTGTGTCTCTGTAGGCTCATCTTAGTTTTGTGTGTCCCTGTAGGCTCATCTTAGTTTTGTGTGTCCCTGTAGGCTCATCTTAGTTTTGTGTCCCTGTAGGCTCATCTTAGTTTTGAATCCCCTCAGAGTCAGATATTCAGCAGAAAATTAACTTTGGCTTCTATGTCAGTCTAGCCTAAAATAGTTACTTGGTAAAGTCCTGGCAAGGTCAGGTCACCGGCAAGATGTCTACTACATCACTGACAGAATGCCAGCTGGTCTATACACATAAGTTAAAGTAAAGATCCCTTTTCACACCTTTTTGGCGCATCAAGCATATGGGAAGAGCACCCATATATTTACAGACCAATCAGCACTATATGAGTAATGTAGTCAGCATTACGTTAGCCGCCTTTACTTTCCCAGGACATACATCCTGGTACTAATTTTAGGCTGGGCCGACCTGGAATGTCCCATACCATGATAAAAATCCACGCAGCAAGCAGTGGGTTTCGATCGCAGTACGTTGGAATTACGAGTCGGACTCGCAATGCCCAAACCAGGATGCCACATAAACATAAGATACAAGCCTCATACCAGAGTTTCCGTGGTTTAGTGAAGCCAGACATTTTTTTGGTATGTCCTTGGCTCCCAGGTTGACCCAACCAGTGGGTACAAGGTGTAGTCCTGGGAAGTAAAGGTGGCCAGGGTGATGCTGACCACATCACCCACCAAATGCCGATTGGTCTATAAAAATACAGGTCTAGCCTTATATTCCTAATATGCCTAAAGGGACCTTTACTTTTCCTGGTAACAACTACATATGGCCTGATGAGAAATGTTTGGAAAATCGCTGGTATCAACAGTCAAAAGACAAAGAAGATAGTTATATATCAAACACATCTTGAGGATGCCCACCTGTGGCTCAGAAGGTCGTGGGTTTGCCTTTTTTCAAAAACTACCTTCACTCCCAGGTTGACCCAGCCTTGAGTGGGTACCAGGGGCAGTCCTTGGAAGTAAGGACGGCCGGCATGATGCTGATCACATCACCCACCAAGGTCCGAATGGTCTATTTAAAATATAGGTCTAGCCCTATATACCCAATATGCCTGAAGGCATGGGGAAAATACCTTTACTTTTTACTTACATCTTGAGGAGAAGTGAACAGAGAATCACAAAATAAGCATTTAAATGAGGAAACAAATGGACTGAAGAGGCAAGGACATCCAAAAGAAATGTTAAGGCAAACGTTGACGAGAGAGGCTAGAGGTACTGGACTGGATTATTATTTTTTCTTAGCGTTCACCGGCTGTAAACTCCAGTGGACAGTTCTGGTTGTTTGTCCACTTCTGGATTTTGGTTTTATTGCAGAATTTGAGTTTTGCATGCACATCTGTTTTAAATATCTGGCCAATTGGTGTGCAGATTGTTGGTTGTCCACTTTTTTAGCAGATGCGCTCTGACGGAATCACCCCTAATTAGTCGCCTTCTATGAGTTGCTAGCTCATGGTGGATTCCATTTATGATACTGAAGCATGACACAGGACAGAATGGAAGGGAAGAACAGATGAAGCCCTATGTTACAGCACAAAGAGATGATCATAAGGAAGAAACAAATGACAGTACTACGACAGTACTTTCATTATGGTATTTATTTCACTTTGCTGGTATCCATCAGGATTAATTTGAAAGCCGAATGCGCTTAGATTTCCCAATACTCTTGATGTACTGTACAACTCTTACAGTCGTCGGTCAGTCAGGACAGAGAAAAATTTTCGTAATTGCTTCCATCTTAGACAGTTGCTACTTTAATTCACACTGTAAGTTAACATCTAACATATCCCTCAAACAAGCGATCTATAAAAAAAAGCAAATAGTTGTGAAACAAACCTCCATCACTAACACAGGTCAGGCAATTAAAACAACCAACCATACTGCATCAATTACACAATTTAACCATTTATAAATTTGCAGCCAGTCAAAGTTAAGAAAGCAGGGTTCTCACGCAGGAGACCTGGCCTCGAATCCTTGGTATGGTTGGGGAATTCTTTTCTGTCGGGGGCAAAAATAGAATCCTAACGTGCACAGTGTGTGGAGCCAGCATTAACCATGTGGTTCTAAATCCTCAGGCTCAAAGGCTCTTTGCCTACACCACTTCTTCTTCTCTTCCACCTTGTACCTCATCGAAGTGTTGGGGGGAGATGTAAAGTTTGTTGATGAGCTCTGTCAAGAGCACTTTTAGGACTGATGTTCATTTCTGTAAGGCTGTTCCTAACTCTACACCACACAAATGGTAAATACAGGCACAGTTTATCATCTGTATGTATGCTAGAGGTCAATTATCCTTTTCTTGTCCAGGTGGTTTCATCCTCATTGTCGTCATATGCCATGTCTAATAGCATCCGCAGACCTCCACCCTGGTGCTCTGCAACAACCCTAGTGAAGATATTCCTTCATGCCATCATCTCTGACCATTCAGCATAATTTCTCTTTCCTCTTGTTTCTTCCACCGCTGATCTCTCTGGTCGTTAAGTTGTGCTAAGATGTGTTACAAGGTGTCTCAGTTCTGACTAAATGACCAAAGAACACAATCTCTTCGTTTTGGATAATTTTCACGGATTGTTCCACAATAAGGGAGTCACCATGGTGTAGCGGCTAGACGCTCCACAGATGTACATGCAACACTTGGGTCTGGAACAGCAATGTAGTCCAGAAGTGGATGAACAACTGGAATGCAAAGAAGAAGACCAAGATATGGTAAATCACAAAGATGACTTAGGTTAACTTCAGCATCATCATCAGGGGAAGTCAGTCATCAGGGTTGAAGTGATCATGCCCTTCTACTGTTTTATTCTCACCATCATCATCAAATAGTACAACCATGAATGTTAAATAAGAGATATGATAAGTTAGCTTTAGCATTAACATCATCATCAAACAGTACAAAAATGAATGTTAAAGAAGAGATATGATAAGTTGGCTCCAGCAACATCATCATCCTCATCAAACACTTCAAAAATGAATGGTAAATAAGAGATCCAAAAGAGAGAACTACAGTGTTGTGTAGAACCTATATTGCTGTTTGATTGTGAATCATGGAATGTGAATGCACTAATCAGAAAGAAGTTCGAGGTGACAGAGATGTGGTTCCTGAGACGTATGTTAAGAATCTCTTGGACTGCCAGAGTAACTAACGAGGATTGCTTGAAGGAAGCTAATGAAAGTAGATCAATATATATAGCTATAAAAAAAAAGACAAGCATTGTTCCATTGGTCACATGATGAGTGGGCAGGCTTTGGAGAATATTGTGGTGACTGGGGAGATCAATGGTAAAATATGGAGAAGCAAACCGAGAGAAATGATGACGAATGGATTGTGACGGTGGCATGGAGGGACATCATTAGTGAAACTGATCCAGAGGACAAAGGACCGAGATCTGTGGAAAGATGCATGAAGGCCTACGCCAGTCGGCGGGGTACATGATGATGATGAAATGACAGGTATGATAAGCTAGTATCAGCATCAACGTTATCAGTTCTGGTCAGTTCAGTAACTGATGCCTACATGGTCTGATTATGACCCTACCCTCCACTCTCCCATTCTCATCGTCATCAGCTTTATCGAGCAAACTGTTGTTCGTCCATCATGAGTGATGAAGACCACTTTCATCCAAAGTAGTAACGATCAACGATTATGGGTACAAAGGTGGCTGATTAGTCCAATATGAGCGGAGAAAGTTCTTGAGCAGTGCGGACAACAAATAGAAGCTGCAGTAAGTGTGGGATTAGTAGTACTATTCTTTCTAGTCTGCCTCCGTTTCTCTGCTTGTGCAACCTCTGCTGCCTGGCAGGCCGATACACCATGCCTGAGGGACGTACGCCATTCAGCCTCCCACGACACTCTGTTGATGCCAAAAGAATTTATAGCAGTCTTGAGAGTGTCCTTATAGCGCTTGGCTGGATGAAAGTGACTTGCATAAGGACTTGGATTTAAGTGAGGAAGAGTTGCGCAATTCATCGACCTCACTCTCTCGCCTGCGTCCATCTTGATCCAATGGCAGGACAATGTCATGACGATTGAAATGGACCTATGTGCAGTGGATGACCAGGGCGTCTCAAGTGCCCTGCCTTGTTCAAACCTCTGCACAGAGCCTGCTGGTAATCGCCTTCTTGTCCACTGAACCAACAAGAGGTTTCATATCAGATACACACAAGTATGGTAAATGACACATGGCAAGGGTTAGCTTCAAACAGAATAATTCTTCTTCTTTCATTCACTTAAAATAAATTAACTATATCTGCAATGCTGTCTTTAGTATGAACATCGCTGTAATCAGAATAATGAAATGACCAATGCTTAAATACAAGTGAGCATTCCCGTAAACATACAAACACCTGTATTAACATGGATTCAGTATCTATGTAGGTATCCAGTGTTAGCTAGGCAGTTGTGGTCCTCCTCCATGGTAGTTTCCTGTCATTGAGGCCCCACTGAAATCCATGCCTGGGTTCTGGAGAGAGAACAAGAAATAAAGTATATGCGGATAACTCAGCACAGTAAGCATTAATCTACTATAGTATATATGGATAACTCAGCACAGTAACCATTAATCTACTACAGTATATACGGATAACTCAGCACATTAACCATTAATCTACTACAGCTTCTTGTTTAATTACTCATCAAGTGCCTTAGTTAGTTAATTAATCAAAAGATTATCTTCACTGCAAATCGGAGTGCACATGCAGGAGTGCGAGGGAAGGAAAGAGCGGGTTTTCTGGCTACAAAAGCAAAAGCTATAGGAACACTCATACTGGACAAGAGAGATATTCTGAAGACTATATATGAATGACTGGTGACAAAAGACACGAAGTTAGATGAAATATTTTGTGCAAGAATATGTGAATGAGGAATTAAGTATGGATCCGGCAAGGAGAGACGGATGAGAGGAAGAGAACGATGTGTGCATATTCAGTGTGCTATGTGAACAGTTAGAATCTACACCTTTAGACATTCGCTGTGGGAGACGGAGTACCTATGGGTATGCTCGGTGTGCTAGATGTCAATTCTTAAAACAGTAAAAAAGTAAAAGTATATTGGACAAGTCCATAAGCGTTCAGATCCCATCTTCAGTATATCCCTCAGCATGTGTTGGTTCACTATTCTTCTTTGGCTACCTGTATAGTTTTCATGTCTTGCAACACCTCTTTCCCCTGAAGTTCTTGTAGTCTTTTAAGTATTGCCGATTTAACCACGTCTCTTGAATCATCTTCTCGTCCTGCCTCCTTGATAGCATTGAGAATATCGGCCCGGTCCATTGCTTTTCCTGTACCTACCATGGCTCTGCCAGCAAGTCAATCCGCTCATTCATTTCCTCTTACACCAGACTGTCCTGGCACAAAAATTAAAACTAATTCTTTTCAGACGAGATTTTCTCAGCGACTCCAACCATATTCTATGAATCCATCCTGTCTCTATCAGTATTTTGCCAACTGGCAAGGGCGATCATGCCCCTCCACAATCTGTGATCTTTAACAGCATGTAACAGTTTGTGTGCTGACACCCCTCTATGCCATGACAAAAGACTGTGAAGAATTGTCTCATGATGTCTTGTTCTCTCTCTTTCTCTTTCCGCAGATCACAAGTTCGTTTTCCTCTTCTCAAAAGATAACAAAAACATGATGATTGTCTTTTTCTGATTGTCTTCGAACCCTCGCTTTACAAACAAATGTTGCTCTTTATGGCTGTCCAAGAAATACTAAGAATTCTTCTTAAAACCACATATCTGAGACCTCAAGCGTATAAGTCAGTGTTTTACTTAATGTTACAACTGTTAATATGTCCGGACACAGAGGTGCTGAACCACAAGTGGCAGTGCATCAGGACCACAGCTCACACCGGTCAAGGCCTGTCTATACCTCTCTGCGGCCATCCTAGAAACAAGCTCCTAACCGGAAGCCTGGCTAACGTATATATGATCGATGTTTGCTTCGAAGTCACAGAGCACCTGCCTGAGAGGCAAGGAACCAAGTCCACAGATAAATAAGCCAAATCTGTAAAATGGATGTGTAAACAAGTTCTGGAACACAACCAAAGTTCAAATGTGGATGAGCACCCAGGATTTTCCACCAGAGTTTACAGCTGGTGGATGTGAAGAAGAAGAAGGTTAATGTTCAGATCTTTCCGCATTTCTGTTTTCAGTCTTCTGATATGTTTATATACGTTTGTCAATTATAGTATTCAGACATTTGTCTTTGAGCAGCAAGAAAGGAACAAATATAATTGTGAAGTTGTTACTATAGTTAATGCCAGTGGTTCTGTTTGCATCTGCACAGTGTTAACTCGGTAATGGATTTGATTATATTTACTGAAAATAGTATTTAGGGAGATCTTTTGTTTGAAAATTGCTTTTTTTAAGATGTCATAATTTACCCTGACTCTAGCAGTCGCCTTTCGATGGCTTATCTAGAAGCACCGCAGCACCCTGACTCTAGCAGTAGCCTTCGATGGCTCATCTAGAAGCACCGCAGCACCCTGACTCTAGCAGTCGCCTTTCGATGGCTTATCTAGAAGCACCGCAGCACCCTGACTCTAGCAGTCGCCTTTCGATGGCTTATCTAGAAGCACCGCAGCACCCTGACTCTAGCAGTCGCCTTTCGATGGCTTATCTAGAAGCACCGCAGCACCCTGACTCTAGCAGTCGCCTTTCGATGGCTCATCTAGAAGCACCGCAGCACCCTGACTCTAGCAGTCGCCTTTCGATGGCTCATCTGGAAGCACCGCAGCACCCATGAATTTCACACGATATTGTGAACTTCAGCAAACTTAAGTTTCACCGTTGTCTCTCCGTGAGAAAGTTACAGTAAAGCAGCACCCCTACTAATGTCAGTTTGGAAGCGCCAAGTATGAGTCATTTTTTTTTTTAGTAGACTCAACAAATGTGTGAGTGAGTGAAAAAACATTATATTTGTAATGATTTTTTTTCGGGCTGAAAAGGTTCAATACAACAAAGATGATTTTCAATTCACCTCTAACTGAAAGCGCTGAAGTGTTAACTTCTTTTGCATTTCATCAAAGGTATAAGGGTCAGCTTGATACTTTCCCTGCAGAAGTGAAGGCCAACAGTGGGCGGCTGTATTGTGAGCTTTACTGAGACATATCCTGATCAGACACTTATCCTCTGCAAGTAAAATAAAGTACAATAAAATTATATAATTACAATTTTTAAAAAAAAAATCAGTCTTTTCACAAAATTTGCAAAACATTTTCAAAACTTTGTAAACATTTTTAATATTTGCCCTGCTAAGAAACAATGATGTTTTGAAAGAAACTGATTCCCAAAGAGAAGTGAATGCCCACATCAGAAGGGATAATCTACATTCTTTGATCACTTCATAAGGAGAATGATAAAACTGGAGTATGTTGTGACAGTGGGAAACTTGGATGGGAAAGGTGGCAGAGAGAGAGAGAGAGAGAAAGAGAGAGAGGCAGAGAGAGAGGGAGAGGCAGAGAGAGAGAGAGAGGGAGGGCAGAGAGAGAGAGAGATAGGCAGAGAGAGAGAGAGAGAAAGAGAGAGGCAGAGAGAGAGGCAGAGAGATAGAGATAGGCAGAGAGAGAGTGAGAGAGGCAGAGAGAGAGAGAGGGAGGGGCAGAGAGAGAGAGAAAGAGAGAGGTAGAGAGAGAGAAAAAGAGAGAGAGTGAGAGAGGCAGAGAGAGAGAGAGAGAAAGAGAGGGAGGGAGGGGCAGAGAGAGAGAGAGATAGAGAGGCAGAGAGATAGAGAGAAGCAGAGAGAGAGAGAGAGAGAGTGTGAGAGAGAAGATGCTGGACAGTTTGGCATGGATGATCATCTGTGTCAGAACTGACTGAAAGTACATCAGATGAAAGATTGTGGATAGACATGACTACCAGCACCACATGGCATAGACTATAAGAAGAAGACAAAACAATTACTAATAAACTACAAACATTAATCACTGGGTGCCTGTATAGAATACATGGAATAAAACAATACGACAGAATTACTTCTTCTTCTACGTTCATCCAAAGATGTAAATGTGCATTGCCCATTTACAACATGGCTGCGATATTTGCGCCTTTCAGCGGACATATCTGTTCCCTGCACCAAACGTTTGTGGCCCCGGTTAGCTTTCCTGGTGACAGATTTACTAATGTGAAGCTTTGGGAGAGAACTTAAACAAATTCTAGCCAATCGGGGGTGAGGAAAAGACGCTGGCGTTTAAGAGGACATACCCTGAGAAAATGTGACAATAGTATAACTACAATGTCCTTTGCACTAGAACCCACAGTGTAAAAGTTAAGAATAAAGACATGAAGAAAAAACTCAAAATAAGGTAAAAATATCAGGATGATTTGGTGTGGCCTGTATGTGGTAGCAAAGAACAAACTACATTTCTAGTGTCAGACTGTTTGTTTTGGTACTGGTGTTTGGGGGGGGGGGGGGGGGGGGAAGAAAAAAAACCTTTTGCATAGGACCAGATTTAACAAATGGCTGTGAATCCTGCATGATTAGTTAACAAGCCACAATGAGTAATTTAAATGTTCTCAAACCCCTGTGTGGGCCCCATTTTAGAGAAAAAAGAAGCGCCCCCCCCCCCCCCCCTTTTCCAACAATCATGTAGTTTAAGGCAACTAATTAGAGGAGTTTCCTTTAAATCTGAATGCATTCCCCTGACAGGTGAGGAACCAGCAGCCTGCATACAGATAAGCCATATCTGTAAACACAATGTACAAGCAAAACTGAAGTCCTGAAATAAGATCAAAGGTGGAAAACAACCAGAACTTTCCACTGGATTTGCAGCCGGTGAATGTTAAGAAGAAGAAATGCCCTGAAAGAGGCTAAAACAGGAAAAAAAATTATAAACTTCAGATAAAACACATTCACACTATTATTTAGCAACATGAGATGGGAACAAGTAGAACATGTGGAAACTCAAAACATGTATGGAAAGAAAGATGGAGGAGAAAAAAAGAGAAGATCCCTGACAGACTTTTGTTTATGCATAGAAATGATACTGCAGATGAACTGAATTAATATTAAGAAATCAATGAAAATAAAATAAATAACCGATGAATGCACAGATGAACTGATGCGCAAATGATTTTTAAAATGTAAATGACATACCTAACGTCCACAGCGCTTCATCAGCATGCACCGGTTCACAGAAATCACCCTGTGGGAGAAAATTATGTAAACTATAAATGTCTCTCTTTATTGATAAACCTCCAGGTGTGGGTCTGGTTCCTCAATTGTGGGGGGGGGGGGGGGGGGGGGGGGGGGGGGGGAGAGAGAAACAGGCCTACTGCTTCCCTAAAAAGCAGGTCATGAGAACTCGAGTGATTAGGGATTTCCATCAAAGTCGGAGTGCATCTGCCTGAGAGACAAGGAACAAACAGATTACATTCAAATAAGCCAGATCTGTAAAACAGATGTGCATGCAAACACTCAATTGTTCTGGAACAAGACTGAAGTCCAGAAGTGGACGAATAACCAAAACTTTCCACCAGAGTTTATAAAGAAGATGAAGAAGAAGATTCACAAACCATTCTTTAAATTTTAGATGCATATCCTTTACAGCCATGTTGGATCTGTGACCCGTTGGATCTGTGGCCCGTTGGATCTGTGGCCTGTTGGATCTGTGGCCTGTTGGAACTGTGGCCTGTTGGATCTGTGGCCTGTTGGAACTGTGGCCTGTTGGATCTGTGGCCTGTTGGAACTGTGGCCTGTTGGAACTGTGGCCTGTTGGATCTGTGGCATGTTGGAACTGTGGCCTGTTGCCTATTGGATCTGTGGCCTGTTGGATCTGTGGCCCGTTGGATCTGTGGCCTGTTGGATCTGTGGCCTGTTGGATCTGTGACCCGTTGGATCTGTGGCCCGTTGGATCTGTGGCCGTTGGATCTGTGGCCCGTTGGATCTGTGGCCTGTTGGATCTGTGGCCTGTTGGAACTGTGGCCTGTTGGATCTGTGGCCTGATGGAACTGTGGCCTGTTGGATCTGTGGCCTGTTGGAACTGTGGCCTGTTGGAACTGTGGCCTGTTGGATCTGTGGCCTGTTGGAACTGTGGCCTGTTGGATCTGTGGCCTGTTGGATCTGTGGCCTGTTGGAACTGTGGCCTGTTGCCTATTGGATCTGTGGCCTGTTGGATCTGTGGCCCGTTGGATCTGTGGCCTGTTGGATCTGTGACCCATTGGATCTGTGGCCTGTTGGATCTGTGACCCGTTGGATCTGTGGCCCGTTGGATCTGTGGCCCGTTGGATCTGTGGCCTGTTGGATCTGTGACCCATTGGATCTGTGGCCCGTTGGATCTGCGGCCTGTTGGAACTGTGGCCTGTTCCTGGACATTTCCAGACAGTTCTCAATGGTTAAGACCTAATCTGTTGACAGTGAGGGTGACTGGACTAAGCTGAGCTGATACTGAGAATTAAATATGAAACAAAGGGAGACACGTCTACAGACATAATAGAACATTTCAATCAATCTTTAACAATAAATATTAGAGTTTCCGGCTCTCCTGTCAAATCCGGACGAAGAATAAAAAGCCTTGGACGACTTAGTCAGAGTTCTCTCCCTTGGCCGCACTGCAAACAGTGATCGGAAAAGCCAACGAAACAAACGACACACTTACCTATCATCATACGGTTGCGTGTAGGGCTGCGTACGGTTGCGTGAGGCATCGTGAAGGGATGCGTGGTCATCATATGGTTGCGTGCAGGGTTGTGTACGGTTGTGTGAGGCATCGTGAATGGTTGTGTAGTCATCATGCGGTTGTTGGGTTAGGGTTAGGGGTAGGGTTAGGGTTAGGGTTAGATGTGAAAATTTTGACGTAGGGTTTCGAAATACTGGCCGACAATCTGATGTTTGTGGGCTTGGCGCCACTGAAATTCTGCTAAATATGACGCCAATAGTGTGCGGCTGGTGCCCAATCGTTGGCGAATTGTGCGTTTGACCAGCATCCAGAGGCCCTCAATTGTTTGTGTGTGTATGTGACTGTGTACGGCATCGACGAAGTTGGTATGGTAGACTACTACCTCGTGCAGATAGATGCCATGCCGTAAGTTTACAACGTTGCTGTAGCCTCGCCAAGCGTCAGTCACGATAGTCGTTCCCGGCAACTAAGTCGTGCGTCGGAAGTACGGTGTTAGTTATGTGAGTGTGTCTAACTGCCATGTTGCTTGTGTCGTTTGTTTCGTTAGCTTTTCCGATCACTGTTTGCAGTGCGGCCAAGGGAGAGAACTCTGACTAAGTCGTCCAAGGCTTTTTATTCTTCGTCCGGATTTGACAGGAGTACCGAGTTTCCCCCGTGTGGGTTCCGGGGCCCTATTATAGGGAAAACAAGAATAGAGCAACTGCCTGCCCAAAAGCATGTCGTAAGAGTCAACTAATTGGGAGTTTCCTTTGAAGTCGGAGGCAAGGAACCAACAGTCTACACACAAATGTGTCAGATCTGTCAAATGGATGCACACGCAACACTCAGGTTCTGGAACAGGACTGCAGTCCAGAAGTGGACGAACAACCAGAACTTTCCACCAGAGTTTACAGCCGGTGAACGCAAAGAAGAAGATTTTAGAGTCTAAAAGACGTAATTTGGTTTCAGCATATACAATTTAGAGTTTACATTTTGTTTTTGCTGTTAAAAGTCATCGTTACATAGTATACAGTATATGCACCCCCCCCCCCCCCCCCCAAGCCGTTAAAACCATCAATTCTTCCATAACAACCTCAAAAATTAAATTCCCTTTGATTTCAACGCGAATATGTTTCGGGGTTATAGCGCATTTGACTTCCTTGGCTTTGAGCTGTGAAGATGAATTTATCTCAATGTAAACCTCGTCAACGGTTTGCCACCACTGTCCCCATTCTGTTTTACAGGGAACTATACCAATTCTTTCATCAAAATGTGCCATCAGAAAAGTCGAAGTTTTGATTCACTTCCAATTTCGTTTTCGTAAACTCTACACTGAACCGGAAGATGGGACAAACTTAAACTTCTGAATACAAAGATCGGGGGTAACTGCGTTTTAGTTATTCTTTGCGTTTATCATCTTCATCAATATCATCATCATCATCATCATCATCATCATAAACATCACGACCATCGTCAACATTATCATGTGCCGTGCTGGTAAGTTTAAGCTGTCATGTTTCGCGATCTAAATCTTACTCGGTTACCAGAATCACTGATCAGGTCAATGTTCGTGCCTTGACTCACCCCATACATGTCACCTAGCAATTCAGTTATTTATCCCTTTGCCTTCCTATTGTTTTCTCTGCAACAAACTTGCCTGCTGTTACCAAGTTCTCCCGTTCATTCATTCTCATAACAAAACAAAAACAAAAAACATAGACTGTCTACGTCTTAAGAATGTCACAAACTTTGAATATGTTAAGCAGCATAATAAACAGCAGTGGAGATTGTTCAACGGGGGGTCAAAATGAGGGTGTTATTAGAAATACAAAGAATTAACAACACGAAGTCTTTGGTTAAGCACCGGCAAGGAAATTAAAGTCAAAATTTGGAGAGCATGCATCTTCCGTGTGGTAGCAGTTGCATGTGATCTGTGAGCTGTCTCCCAGTCCTTAAGGAAGAAAATAGTGGCTTTTGAGCTGAAATGCTATACAAAAATGCTCATAATGGACACATAAAAGATAATACTGACATCCCAAAAGTTCTGAACAGCAAGGAAGATTGGCTTAAAAATAGCATTTTTCTCGAAAACTGAAATATTTCATATCAAGCGCCACGGCGAACTACAAAAAATTATAACAGAAGGCATGATGACTGGAAGCAGGGGCAGGACCTTGTTCTCGTTCAAGAATCTACTTCAGAGGTTCTGGGTAGTTAGCATCCACGGCCAGCTCCATATATATCTGGAGCTGGCCGTGTTAGCATCCTTTGGGTGCCAGGTGATGCCGGTTTGTTGGGAAATGAGCAGGCAGATACAATGGCCGGCTCTGCACCACTTGGTGGTGAATTGATAAGTGACAAACTAGATGTTGTGAGGGCCCTTTGGGAGCGAGTGAAAAGTGCAGAGGCGCAGATAGATCATTACTGTCTGAGGAGAATGGCGCTGCGATGTGTTGTGGGGGTTGGGGGTGGGGGGTCCCTGGTCGACGCTCAACACTCAGGGGAGGGATGAGAAATACAAGGAGGATATACAATCAGACGGTTACTGGTACCATCGGAATTTGAGCTCTTCGCTTGCTGCTGAATATGGGGACGGAGCACTTGTGGGTGTTTCCTGAGTGCTGTAATGTCGATTCTCAATTCAACATGGCATGGCACTTGATTATGATTATACTTGAGCAGTCCATTGTTTCCTAAATTTGTTTGGCCCACCGCCCCTTTTCAGTGGAGAAACAAAAATCCCAGCACCCCTCTCCCTGGTGATATTATCACCATCATCATTTTGCGACGGCGAAGAGCATAGGCGGTGATTATTCATCCTACACAATGATTAGAATCACGGATCATTAGTACCCTTGTTCCCACACTCCACCCCAACCCTTTGCATATGTCCAAGCCACAGAGGCATTTATCTCTTTGCTTTCCACCTGTCCTTGTTCTTTCAAACTTGCTAGTTGACACCAAGTTGTCGGATCTATTCCTTAACAAGAAAGATACTTTCTGTGTGGCTTTTTTTTTTTTTTTTACATCTCACAACGTTCTGGTCTGTAATTGTCGAAGTATCCTCAAGTTCAACTTCATAGATTGAGTTCTGTGTGTCTGGCGTTGTAACGCTACTATGCAGGTGGGGGCTGCACGAGGTTTCCTGTAGCCTTCGTAAACTAGGCCTATTTATTTCTAAAGATGCGAAGTAAGCTGGAATTCATTACTGGGCTAGTTCTGTCCTGACGGACAGCATTTTGATGTTTTATTTCGTGAAAATGAATTTTGTAGTTGATGCTGTCCTATTTTGAGCATGAGATGGCTTGAAGGAGTGATTTGGCATATATGAATTTGATAGCTTTTTTTTTTAAAGCTCGACTAGGTAGATGAGTCTGCTCTGTTCAAAGAAAGATTGTTGCCTCTACGTTAAAGTTGGTGCAAGCGTCCACTGCCGATAGTGAGTGTGTCTCTGTGATGCATTTAGGGTGTGTAATGCAGATTCGCTGGATTTGTGGCTTCTTTACCAAAACCTTGTGTCAATCAATATATGTATCCAAATATTCGAGGAGTACTGATTTAAGAGATATAAAATGGAAAACGTATTTTTTTTTTGGACTCAATTTGTTATTTTTTTGGCAATTATTTCTAGATGTCCAGAGCTGTATTGGACATTATTTTCACGATTTTTTTTTTAAATCACAGGAATCCTTTCATTGCTTTTTGAGTTATTTATAAGCTTTTTTTTAAACCTCGTACAGAATTCACATGTTAAGTTTTCGCTGCTTTAGCCTGTGAGATTGAGAGACGTATAGGCTTGCCTGCTCCAGTGTATAGTCTTCATGTTTTTGTACTAGCTTCCCTGTATCTTCCATCTAGTTTCTGTTTTCATTACAGCCATTTGTTGTATGCCTATGATTGGATTGGATTCTTATTTGGGGTTTGGCTTCCTGATGAGCATAATGTCTAGTTTAACTCCCAAGAATAGTGGGTATTTCTAATGACGCGGATAGGAGGCTGTTGTGGTGTTTTCATAATAGCCTAAACAGCAAAGTCGTCGATGAGCATTGGTTCTATATAGATATCGTTCAGTTAGTCTATCTGAGACTTGCTAGTGACTAAATTTAGTAATGTCAGTTATGTAAATCACGAAGAGTCTTGGCTCTTCTAGGCTGCTCGGAAAAATTCTGTTTTACTGACTTAACAGTTGAACTGTCAGTACAGCTGACGATGCTATGTTTTTCGGTTCTGCCAAATCGTTAGAACACCAAGTAACTGTTGCTTGTGGAAGTTTCAGCTCAGCCCATTATTACACCCAGCCTAGAAAAACAGGAATAATAATAAAAAATCTAAAGAATACTATATTAATTAATGTTAATCGAAAGGATGCACCTATTTGGTCAAAATGGTATGTTTTTTTTTTTAAATTGAGCAATCACTGCGATTTTTATCTGCCACACCTCACTGTAACAGGTGCGAACAGTTTATCAGCATGTTTTCTCTCTCCGTTTGTTGTCTCTCTCTTTCTCTCTCCCGCCCCATGGACTGTCCCAGTGCCCCCACTCCTCCCTATCACCGCGCTTTTAAGGGGTGGTAGCGCCCTCTTTAAGAAACACTGTGCAAGAGGCTGTGAGAGGAACACGTTTTTGCTAATATTCTGGGGTATAGAAGTTTCTTGAGGCTGTGAGGGAGAAATTTATCTTAAGGCTGACGGGAGAAGTATCTCTTGAGGCTGTGAGGGAGAAATTTCTCTTAAGGCTGACGGGAGAAGTATCTCTTGAGACTGTGGAGAGTTTCTCTTGAGGTTGTGGGGAAGTGTTTCTCTTATTTTGAGGCTACAGGGAGAAGTTTCTCTTGAGGCAGATGGCAGAAGCTTCTCCTGAGACTGTGGGGGGGGGGGGGGGGCACGTCTTTTTAAACTGTGGGGGAGAAGCTTCTCCTGCTACTGTAGGAGAGAAGTTTCTTTTGAGGCTGTGGGGGAGAAGTTTCTCTTCAGTCTGATGGCAGAAGCATCTCTTGAGACTATGGGGAGAAGTTTCTCTTGAGACTGTAGGGAGAAGTTTTTTTTTAGGCTGTGGAGAGAAATTTGTCAATGTTTCATAAAGTACTGTCTTTCTCTTATCTTTCTCACTGATTATTATTTTCATACAACATTTACTCCTTTATTTTACCAAAACTAAACAACTCAGATGAGATTCAGAAATTTAATATTATCAAAGCTTGCATGCATACATAGATTATTTTTAGTCTACAAGACAGTCACTGAGTTCAGATGAGGCACTGTTTAAATCACAATTTAATAGTTTGAGAAAGAAAAGAACACTGAAATTTCGTTTTAAATATTTTCAAATGTTTGTTACCACAAGTAAAACAATTTTTTACACAGTTGTAAATGAGTTATGATTTGGGTTATTGTTACTGCACTCTGGACACGCCAATAAGTGCTAAGATTCCCCCTTCAGACAAGACTTCTGTTGCGTCCGATGTGCTTTTCGTGCCTGGCTATGCCAGTCTTTACTCCTAGTTCTTGCCCTCTTAGCAAAGATGTGGAAGTGCTGCTCCCAGAATCCTCCAAACACCCCACCTAATGGCATTAACAATGTCAGCATGATCAGTAGGCCGGCCCTCTGTAACTAAGGCAGAGCCGACTAATCTGTCGGCTCTTTCATTGCCAACAACACCTGCATACCCAGGTTCAAGGATGAAGGTGACTCCAGGCACAGTGGAGTTTAACAATGACTTGATCCACTGTCTGCATTCAAACCCCACCTCAACCCGAAGGATCATGCTTAAAGAATCACTCAGCACACAGATATGAGAATAGCCCTGCGATGAACCACATGAAAGCTCGTGTTAACGCCATTGTCATGCTGCTGGTAGTCATACAGAAGGCACCACTGGTCTCCTGGACTGTTCTACCTGCAGAGAACACAGTAAACGCCCATGCACTTTTTTGTCCTCGTACAACGGACGCATCTGTGTAGATCAGTACATCCGCCTCCTATGAATTTTCACATAAAAGTACATGGACCTCTGTATTGACAGCAACTTGATTCTGCTCCTGACAGATCCTATCAAGCATGGCAACACGGGAAAAGAGGCAGTTGAGCACCTGGGGCACAGATATTCATTCTTCGTCAAGGCTGATGTCTGTTTGTAAGACTGCAGATATGTATGATATTGTCCTCTGCCCTCCAGTGCCATGATTTTCCTCTTTTTAGCCTGTTGTCCTTTTCCCTAAAAATAACATTGTGCAGAGGGTGCTTCAAATCCGAGCTTATCTTCAGTTATGCATGAGTCTTCCAGATCTTCATCCTATGGTGTACTGTTGGAAAAACAAGAAGATATCACACTGCTATTTAAAAGGTGTCACTTGTGCACTCCAGAATTATGCACCTAGCTTTATTTTGCATTTTTACCAGACTTTCAATCTGAGTATCGCTGACAGTGAGAATGGCTAAAGCATATCTGACTGGAGAAAGAACCAATCCCCGGAACAGTAGCAGAAGCAGTCTCTGCTCAATACTGGTGGTGGCCAGGACACTCATTGCTGATAAGCTTTTACTGGCTTTTGCTAAAACATGGCTGACGTGGTCTTTGAAGGACAGACTGCATTAAAACCAGATATGTCATCGGGTGTGTTCTTGTCAAAGCTTTGCCCCTAATTTCCACCACAGGTAGGTCTGCCTTAACCTTAGGCGTGATGAAGGACCACATTACTGAGGCTTCTGAAGGGTTGACATGCGCACTGGAGTCCTCACACCAGGAGGAGATGTGATGAAGTTCACTCTGCATTACATTGGCAATCCCATGATTCTTTCTTCCATGTCAATAGACCAAAATGTCATCAGCAAATGACAGAGTCCTGACACACCCATTCAACTGCATATAAATTAACAATGGTAATATTTTTTAGCAGTACAACAATTTTCTTAGTTAACATCATAATGCAACCATCATGTATATATATGTGTGTGTATCTATGTATATATATATATATATTGATTGAGAGTACACTAGACAGAAGGTTGTGGATAGACATGACTACCAGTGCAACACGGCATAGACTTTAAGAAGAAGATATACACACACATACATACATACATATGCATATATATACAAACACACACACACACACACACACATATATATATATAAATATATATATATATATATATATATGTGTGTGTGTGTGTGTGTGTTTGTATATATATGCATATGTATGTATGTATGTGTGTGTATATCTTCTTCTTAAAGTCTATGCCGTGTTGCACTGGTAGTCATGTCTATCCACAACCTTCTGTCTAGTGTACTCTCAATCAACTCTTACACAGATGATGCTCCATGCCATGATGTCAAACTGCTAAGCATCTTTTCTCTCAATCTCCCTCGGCCTCTCCTCCCCTCCAACTTTCCTACCATCACGATGTACTCCAGTTTTCTCCTTCTCATCGCATGACCAAAGAATGTAGATTGTCTCTTCTTGATGTGACCTGTACACAGTAAAACTGAAACTTCTCCTCATGTGGGGTTGTGGTATCTTATTTTAGGGAGGAAAAGGAATTGTCCCTTTGTCCCTGTGATGACCCTGCTTAGCATACTCCCCACGCTCACAGCAAGTCGAGCAGAAATCTGTGGGACAAATGACCGCTCAAGAGATACCTGGGGCTGGAAAGGAAAACGTAGGAAAGCCCAAAGTTGACTTATAGTCAGTTGCGTCCCAAAAGTCGAGGAAGACAGTTGTCATATTTGAAGATGTAGTTTAAATGTCAAGTGAATGACTAGTGTTGTCATATTGTGAAAGCGAACTGTGATGACTGTGTCTGCATAATTGTCGGAATAAACTGATAAAATGTATAAATAAACTGAGAGCAGTTTTGTGTTGTTAATCCAAGAGAGTAGAAGCAGTGCAAGCAGCAACGTGCAAGTGTCAAAGTTGATGTGTAAAGTAGCCTCATCGCAGTCCCCTAACAAGCATACCATAAAAGGAGTTTGCTGAAATCAGATATGCTGGGCTTAAAGGCACAGACACTGCAGGCAGCCTAGCTGAAAACCACAAACATAACATGCCAACTGAGATTTTAGGTACAAAAGCAGAAAAAGAAACTTTAACAACCACTATATATTATCATAAAAACAACCAATTGCAGATGTACTAAATGTTTATCATAATAAACATTACACCAACAGATTAGTTGACCATATTTAATGTTGCATGTACGATACAACAGATAAATAACATGCATCTCCTCCTCTTCCCAGTTTTCACTGGCTGTAAACTCTGGCGGAAGGTTCTGGTTGTTCGTCCACTTTTGGATTCTGGTCTTTTTCCAGAACTTTATGTGCACATTTGTTTTACAGGTGTGGCTTTTTCATGTGCAGACTATTGTTTCCTCACCTCAGGGGCAACTGGACTCCAACTCCGAAGGAAACACCCCTGATAAGGCACCATTTATGACTTACTTGCTAGAGAAGAACTTGGTCTATCTTTTTATTGTTGTTTTTTCTCCCACCTAAAATATGATCCCACCGGGAAAATAACAATATAAATCTGTTGGAACATGTAAAACAAAGAACACCATGTCACAAATTTTAAACAGTAAGATATAATATACATATGACAAGAGTATACACAAAAATATATAAAACAATATTAGGTGAAACAAATTAAAATGACACACACTTTGAATATCTAGGCTCCATAATAAACAGCGTTGGAGACTGTTCAACAGACGTAAAAAAAAAATGCAATGCAAAGATTAAATATCATTAAAAGTCTATAGTTAAGCACCAACAAGGAAATCAAAGTCTCAATTTTCAGGGAATGCATCTTCTTTGTAGCAACAAACAGTGTGAGTCGTGGACTATCTCACTATAATTCAAAGGTAACAGAAAGATTCTCAGAATAACAATGGACCAAGAAGAAGATAACAACAGACATCCTAAAAGATCTGAACATCAATGAAAAATTGGCTAATAAACAGCATCTAGTCTCAGAAATTAACATATTTTGGCATATTAAGCACCACTGTGGATTGGATGGTCACTCATAACAAAACACAAGTAAATTAGCAAACATGGAAATGAGATGTCTGAGAAAGACTGTAGGAGAGAAGAGAAGAGATAAAATCAGGACTGAGGTCATATGAGATAAAGTCGTCACATAAACAATTCTAAATTACATAAAAAGACAGCAAATCAAATGACTTGCCCACCTGGAGAGAATGCCTTCTGGTGCTATACCATACACGGCATATACCAAAAGAGGAGAGGGCCGTAAAGCAAGAGGTAGTAGACCAAGAACAATATGGAAAGATAACATCAGAGAAACTCTACAGAATCATGATGTGCTTATGATCGAAGCAGCCAGAAAAGCAGGAAGCAGGACCTTATATCTCCTTCAACACCCAAAGCGGCAAAAGAGGATATAAAGAAGAAGAAGAAGTAGGTTGGAAAGAATCAATTACTTTTTTTTTCTAATGACAATTTATTATACAAAACTTGTAGTGACTTATTTTCTTCAGGCTGCTTAGTCCAGACTTGGTAATGCTTTAACTCCAGCAGTCTTTCTTATTGGACCATATCTGGGGTCAAGAATCCTTTGATCTTCTGGAATATTCCTGTAAAGACATGTAAAAATGTATGCATTTAATTTGTTATATATATGCAACTTTGCTTAGCACTCATCTTCTGACTTAGCCCTTCCACCCTGGCAGCCACAAACAAAGCAATTCTGGATGACTCCAGTTCCCCAAGAGTGCTGCTTACCCAGCATTCCTAGCATTTATGAGACACCTTAAAAAGTCCCTTGGTTGTTTTACACCTGTGCAGCATTTAGGAGGTCAGGATTTGAAAATATTTACTAAAAACAGCATTTGGGGGATTTTCTTTCGAATCAAAAGGCTATTTTAAAACCATGATGAGTCAGCTTTTTCCACAGCCTCAGTGATACATATCACAGTCACTGCATGAGTCACCTGATTCGTACTTTTAAGGCTCCCGCTGAATGTATTCCATTTAATGTTTACTTTGTTTATTTTTACTGAGAACTCCCTTTTTATATTTGTATATATTTAAAAACAATATAAAAACGTAGATAAATATATATTTTTGACAATTTATTAATGACATTTGTAAACAATTTTTAAAGGATTTTGTGTGTGAATTCTCACAGGTTCATGACTCACTTATTTTAGCATTCCTGGGGTGAAAAGATTAACTCCTAACAGAGCACAGAACTTTGAATAAACCATGCTGTCCTTAGCAGACTTGAAGTTGCTTTTACTTTCTATTAAAATGAACTGTGTTGAGTTGAGAAACCACATTACGGAACTCAGGACAGTCCCATAAATGCTCCATCCCCATCATCAATAGGCAGCACACATTCCAATTCTAATGGTACCAGTAGCTGTCTGTTTGTCCATTAAGCTTTTCTGCTGAGAGTTGGCTGGATCCCCTGATCACTCCCAACTGCACCAGTCTATTCAGATCATAAGGATCCTTTTGCACTGTTCACTCGTTCCCAAATGACCTTGTAACATCTAACTTATCTCACATCATTTTACCATCATCTGGTGCAAACCATCCAGTCTGTCTGCCTGTTCATTTCTCAGCACATCTGAATACTCTGGAGAATAAGTCTTAAGGATGCCCGCTACACAGGATCTGTGAAGAGCACACCTGTTCCCACTTTCCTCAGCATGCTTTGTGCGCTCGATATCTTCAAATGGCTTAAATACTTTGCTATGTAGACATGGCTTAGAGTTTAATAATGAAGTAGAAAAAACCCTTCTTTACTTAGTCACTGCTCTTTTACCTTGGCATGTAGAGGTTTGTCAGAGAGATTGCCAGACTTTTCTATCAGCAGTTTTCTTTCTGGTTTTGTTCCATTTCAGTCCATTATAAGTCAGGGACTGTCGAATGTTGTCTTCCCAGTGGACCCTGGGTCGTCCTGGAGGTCTGATCCCTTGGTTCTTAGCCTCCCATGGTGGCCGATTTTCTCCCATTCTGCAAACATGTCCAAACCATCGTAACTGTGACTAAGCTAAGACAGGTCTGATGCGCGAATGTAAAAAGAGGAAGGTCTGGCTGAACCTGAGTACTTCGTGTCTCTGGAAGTAGTGGGTAATCGTGAATCAGCCAGACGGCAGGCATGGAGACTGCAAGGAGGCAGCCCCTCCACCATGCAAAGACACAACAGGCCAATCACCTGTTTGCCTCAAACTACGATTACCAGTTAACACAGAGAGACAAAAACCCTCCTTACCCTCCATTATTTCTGTAACTTCGTGGTGTCTCGCCGGGATTGGATCGAGATGTGATCCTTGGTGGAGCCTCTTGGGCAGCCAGCACTGTTTGTCTTTGTCTTGCCCTTAGATCTCCTATATTAACTTTAGTTGCATTAATCTCCAGAACATATTGTTTTCTTTCGTCGTTTGCTTTATGGTAAGCCTGACAACAGAATCATTTAAAAATCAGCATATATATATATGAGGAGGCTTAAAAAAACAACTTAAAAGGGTGATAGAAATTATGATTTCTAGAGTAACAGTAATTAAAATTAAGCAAGTAAATAAATCCTTCAAAATGAATCAACTACATTCAACAACAACAACAAAAATGTAGCCAATGTTATGTTTCAAAGAATTCATTTATTTGCTTAATTTTAATAAATTGTTACTGTAGTATGCATCTAACTAAGCAAGCTCCAGTGACCAAGAGGGGAAGAAAAGACGCTGGTGTTGGATAGGACACACATCGAGAAAACCGCAGAACAATATAACTAGAATGTCTTTGCATTGGAACCCACAGGGGCACAGGTATAAAGGAAGGCAAAAAAAAAAAACACACATGGAGAATGAAGTTAGAAAGATTGGGGAAGAGCTGCATGCGATAGCAAAGGATAGAAGGACTTGGTGTGAGTTGGTTGAGGGCCTATGCTCCACTGGGGGCTAGAAAGGCAGAAAAGAAGTATGCACATGATCAGATACGGCAAAATATGACTGTCAATAAATTGTGCAATCTATTGTTTGTGTCTTCTTTGTTCAAACATTACAGTTCATTTATTGAATTAGAAAACTGTTATAACTTGACCTACTGTGTTCAGCAGCAGCTCATAGGTTTACTTCAAAATTTATTTCCAGAATATATTTACAGACAACTATCACGAGTGTGAAAGCGATTAAATGGTATGATAGAATAACTAATGTAGAACTTTGGGAGAGAACTAAACAGGCTCCAGTGGACCAAGAGGCGAGGAAAAGGCGCTGGTGTTGGATAGGGCACACACTGAGAAAACAGGAGAACAGCATAACTAGAATGTCTTTGCACTGGAACCCACAGGGGCATAGGAACAAAGGAAGGCCAAAAAACACATGAAGAAGAGAGCTGGAGAATGAAGTTAGAAAGATGGGGAGGACATGGGGAGAGCTAAATGCAATGGCGAAGGATAGAACGACTTGGCGTGAGTTGGTTGAGGGCCTATGCTCCATTGGGGGATAGAAAGGCAGAAGAAGAAGAATCACTAATGTACCTTAGACTCCTGGTCCAGCCTCCATTCCAAGTCTCTCAACTGACTGTATAAGCTATTTCTCTCCCTTTCCAGGGACTTCACCATCTGTGGACTTGCCTTTGAGAAAAACAAAAAAATTTGCACAACGGTGAAAATCATATTAAAACATCCATATCAGCTAATGCACATATGGCAATATTTGTTGCTGCTATAGTCATTTCTAGGAGTCACCGTGACTTTGGTGGCTAGGCGTCCTGGGGGAGCCAGACTTTTGTCAAAAATGACCTTGACTCTCAGGTCGACCCAGCCTAGAGTGGGTACCAGATGCAGTCCTGGGAAGTAAAGGCAGCCGGCTTGATGCTGGCCACATTACCGATTGGTCTAAATTGTCTAAAACAATATAGGTCTAGCCCTATATGCCCGATATGCCTTAAAGCGTGGGAAAAGGATCTTTACCATACTCATTTCTAACATAGTTACTTCTTCTAATAAGTTTAATCCGGCAGACAGTTCTGGTTGTTCAGCCACTTCTGGACTCTAATCTTGTTCCAGAACTTGAATTGTGATATCACATCCATATTATACATCTTTCTTCAATGTACAAGGTAAAGTCGGGGAAAGTAAAGGCGGCCGGCATGATGTTGACCACATCAACTAATATTGCTGATTAATCTATATAATACAGGTCTAACCCTATATGCTCCAATACACCTGAAGGCGTGAAAAAGGGTCCGTTTCTTATCTCTTCAAGTCTTAAGCAGTTGTTACTTTAACTGCATCCATCTCAAGAAATTGTACACATCCGACTTATTTGTATGCAGACTGTTGGTTCCTTATCTTTCAGGCAGATGCAGTCTGACTTCAGAGGAAACTTCTTTAATTTGTCAACTTGGGTGACGTGCTTGTTTAGGAGGTAGTGGGTCTATTCCCTCCCCACTCCCCCTTCCCCACCCCCCAAATGAGGCTTTGGAACCCACACAGTAAGACCTTTAACCTAAATCTCACTGGTGGCTCATAAAATAACAATTTCACCAATCAACAGGTAAGAAGTAATAGGCATGGCTTCTTTTTTTTTTTTCTGACAGGACGCAGGGTTAAGCTGTACCAGCACCTTTTTTTTAAGGCATTTTTTTCACTGCAATTGTAAAAAGACACTTTCTGGTGAATACTGGTACCTTTTTAGACACTTTGCGGAGAGTATTAGCACCTTTTTTGTTTTTTATGGAAAAAAGCTTATATTAGATATAATTATTAGATATTGGGTTGGCTAGTAAAGACAATAAAACAAAGAAAATTGAAATATTTTGGTCACTTGAAACGTCATGGAAGTCTAGAGAGAACAATAATGGAGGGGTATATGCCTGGGAAGAGAGGAAGAGGAAGGCCAAGGAGAAGATGGGTGCAGGATGTGGCAGATGATCTCCAGATGGGTGTATCAGACGCAGGACATCTTGCTCATGATAGGAAGGTTTTCCGGAGGGTTGTTATGGCAGCGAGGTTCCGCGAGGGACATGCTACTGAATGAATGAATGAATGGAAAAAAGCTTATATCAGATATACATACAGGAAGTTGTTCAGTGCAGGAAAGGTTAAAATGGTTTTCTTTTTATAACAAACATGAAGATTATTTTAGACAAATTCTTACATCAGCAAGGTCATCAAATGCTCGATTATCCCTTGGAGACTTTCCAGCTGAAATTTATAATTAAATAATTAAACATTTAATAATCAGTTTAATAAAAAAAAATTATGTTGTGTTCCTCTTTCTTATGCGGCGTCCTTGGCTAAGGCGTTGCGAGTCCGACTCGTGAGCCAGCATAGCGCGATCGAAACCCACTGCAGGATGCGTGGATTTTTGTCGTGGTATGGGACGTCGCAGGTCGACCCAGCCTAAAATGGGTACCAGGATGGGCTGTCCTGGGAAAGTAAAGACAGCCGGCGTAATGCTGACTACATTACCCACAGAGTGCTGATGGTCTGTAAAAATATGGGACGCTCTACCCATATGCCAGATGCGCCGAAAGGCGTGAAAAGGGATCTTTCCTTTCCTTTTCCTTCCTCTTTCTTATTATTATTCTTTTTCTTCTCCCCCCCCCCCCCCCCCCCTTCCGTTACATAATGGTTAAATAATTAAATGAAATATTTTCCCTATTTCTTGTCTGTTTCTTCTTCCATTTTTTTTTCTTTCACAGCAACATTCTTCCTCTTCCCCCACCCTCCTTAAATACCTTTCATATATCTCCCCCCCCCCCCTTCCCACTGCCTCCTCTTTTTCCTTCCTCGTCTTTAACTTTGTTTTAATAATATCTACAAAAGAAGTCTGAATTTGTTTTTTAATATATATTTTTGTTAATTGTCCAATTGCTGGGTGTTTGCTTTGTACCACATTGATTAATGCACCATTTCTCACTTCCTTTTATTCTCTTTCTTCTTTCTCCTTCTTCTTTTTCTTCTTGCCCTTAAAAGAGTGTTTAGCACATTGTGTTTTACAGCTAGGCTGTGATATTTGAGCAGTTCAGCCAAACACATCTGATTTCACCAAACACCTAATTAGTCACCTTTGCTAGGGAGTAGTCATTGTATATTTTCCTCAGAATTAAGCTCACACGGAGACTATTTTCAATTATTTACCTTCTTCAACTCTTTGAGTCCCAAGGAACGCATTGTACGCTCATATGTTCCTACCTAGAAGCCCAATGAACGCATGATGCGCCGATTTTATGACTCTCTTTATTACCACCTGGGCCTGTGATGCTAAACCCTCTGGGACTCAAAGAGTTATATGTTTCTTGACCTTTTCTACCTTCTCCCTCTGATTATGATTCCTTGTTGTAAGTGTAGAATGTCATTTTCTAAATGTCATTTTTATAACTGTAATTTTTGTCAAACTATAATTAGTGTTTTAATCACTTTGTCATGTAATTATTTCTGTAACTGTCATTTTTATAAAATTTTCATTTAATCAGACTGTCATTTTGTAATTGTCAAAATGCAGGGTACCATTGTTGCTTTGTGCCACACAGTCTGTTGCACTATTTAATTTACTTACCTTCTTTCAAATTTCTTTTCGCTTCTTCTATCTTCTCCTTTAACAAAAGATTTTGCTTCTCCAACTGCAGGTTCATTTCAGTCTGCGTCTCAAACCTAGTCTTCCATTCATTACCTGTGAATCACAGATTGATTACATAATACAGCCTCTAAATAAACATTGAATGGTCGTAGACCACTAGGCAGACCAAGAGGACTATGGAGATATAATGTCCAGACAGATCTGCAAACACTTGGTGTCACCAACTGGAAAGAGAAGGCCAACCAGAGAGATGAATGGAGGCGGGTGATATCTGTAGCAATGAACCTTAAGGGCTCGGAATGCTGAAGAAGAAGAAGAAGAAATGAATAAACATTCACACAGCAGGCTGACGTTTATACAATTGACTTTTTTTATCAGTCACCTTGAAAATGGTGGTTGGCACGTAGGGGTTTACAGTTAAGCTGTGATACTTATGCTGTTTAGACTAAATCACCCAGTTTCAACAACCCCAGAATTACTCTCTTTTCAAGGCAACAGTAAAGCTTTTCCCTCCCCTTCTCCCCCCCCCCCCCTTTTTCCCCTATAAACCTATAAAATGGCACCCTGAAACTCACACATAGAAAATAATAACATTCATTCTTCTTCTTCTTTCGTTCGCCTGAAATAAGTTGTCTATATCAGCAATTTTGTCTCTTGCATAAATTTCACTGTTGTTGTTAGTTCATTCAGTGGTCCATAGAGTTTACGTTCCACTGTTGTTCTTTCTGGCCAAAAGGTTTGCCTTAATGTGTCAAATTCAGTGCAGTCCTGGAGTACATGTTCTGCTGTCTGGGGCACCTATCCACAGGTGCACATGGCTGATACGCCTATCTTGAATTTTGTGTACATGTGGTTACGTAATCGGTTGTGCCCTGTTCTGAGGTGGAGGATCATGACTTGTTCTGATCTGTCCAAAATAAAATAGTCGTCTTGTGCTGGGGCTGGTGGTTTCCTGATTGATTTAATGATTCTTTTCTTTTTGTGGTATGTGACTGGTACATCCGGCTGCACTTTTGTCACAATAAAATTCATATAATAATTCACATAGCATACAGACATTCATATAGCATACAGACATTCACATAGCATACAGACATTCATATAGCATACATATATCTATATCATCATCAATTCTCTTTACGCTTAGTGGCATATGAGGCTTCAGACAGGACTTTCCATGCTTTCCTGTCCTGTGCAATCTTCAGTGCAGTTTTCCATGTCAAAGATGCCGCATTCAGGTCACTCTCCATCGTTCATCTCCATGTTATTTTTGGGCGACCCTTCTTTCTCTTTCCCTCTTGTGTCCATGTGAGAGCTGTTTTGGCAGGTATATCAGGATGCAATCCGACTTCGAAGGAAGCTCCCAGTTAGTCGACTCTTACGACATGCTTTTGGGTAGGCAGTGGGTCTATTCTTGTTTTCCCCCACAATGGGGCCCGAAACCCATACGGAGAACAAAATATACTAATTTGCAGGACATCAGGAGCCTCTCTTGGCAGTGGTAAAACGTCACAAACTAGCTTAGTTTGGGGCATGTGGTAAGACATGATTCAATTGCAAAGAGCGTACTTCAAGGAATATGGGGAGGGGGGGGGGGGGGGGGGGGGGGGGGGGGGGGGGGGGGAGGGTAGAAAAAGAGGAAGCATTCACAGATTATAAACTCTCACACAAAGGTCTGGTTGTTCATCCATTTCTGCACTATTGTCTTGTTCCAGAACTTGAGTTTTGCGTGCACATCCATTTTAAAGATCTAGCCTATTTGTATATGCAGACTGTTGGGGCTAGTCTTACAAGTCATCAAAGAACAACAAATGAAGTGGCTTGGACATCTAACCTGAATGCCCTGGTACTATCTACCACAGCGAGCCACACTGAAATGTTACAACGGGTATATAGTGAGGGGAAGACCTTGTGAAAGATGAAGTGATGGCATAAAGAACAGTCTTACAGAAATGAACATCAGTCTTAATAGTTCTCTTGACAGAGCTCATCAACAAAAGTGACATCTCCCCCCAACATTGAGGTACAAGGAGAAAGATAAGAAGAGGACTGTTGGCTCCTTGCCTCTTAGGCAGATACACTCCAACTTCAAAGGAAACTCCAAAACTTTCTAGGCTCACATTAGTGTCATTAGTCATCTTTGCACTCACAATCATTGATCATTACTACTTGTGGATGCTAATTGATCTTCATCACTGTGATGAACGAACAACTACAGGAAAAGGCATATGCATACACTCACATGTTCATATAAAATATATGTTTATCTACCTTCATTCTCAATGCTATCATACCGCCTTTCTAGTTCATCAATTGTAGCTTTCAGTTCAGCTGATGACTGGTCCAGCATTTCTCTGCAGATAAAATTGAAAATCAAAATTTACAAAAAAAGTTAGATTTATGTGCATGCAACACTCAGGTTCTGGAACAAGACTAAAGTCCAGATATGGATGAACAACCAAAATTTTACGTTGGAGTTTACAGCCGGTGAAAGCAAAAATGAAGATTAAGATATTTTCACTCACATATTTAAAAAAAAGACTGTCAATATATAATTTCTCTAACCAGTTTATAGTCTGGTAGTCCAGTTTATATGTTATCACATCTGATGTACAGAACTGACTTATTTGTACATGCAGACTGTTGGATCCTTGCATTCTGGGCAAAGGCACTCCAACTTTGAAGGAAACGCCACTTATTAGTCATGGTGTGTGACATGTTAACTAGGGAGAACGTGGTTCTGTTCATATTTTCAAAGTTCTCTAAAGGATGTGTAGATAACATGTGACCAGTTTATAGATTTCATCTGTCTTGAGTTGGACTACCTCATTCGTTTATCTATTCTTCGATGATACTGTTTACCACATCCCTCCTGCAAGTAAATATTTTTCAGCAGCAGTGCTAGATAGAACTCATTAAAATAAAATAAATGTTGTTTGTTTGTTAGTTTTCTACAGGGTTGGTGTCTCAGGCTTAGGAGTTGTGAATGGGCTTCATAATTATGGGGTACTAGGTTTGATATCACTGCAAGCTATTTGTCAGCAGACAGCCTTGTGTTAGTTTTGACAGTGGTATCAAGAGCTGGCTGTTTAGGTGCAATGGCAAACTACTGAATATACAATTGCCTAGTGAATCAAAAATAGACCCAAAATGCTGGGGTTGATTCTGCAATTTCCTGTAAAGGATTTGCTGCTATTTCTACAGAATGAAGTAACCATTTTGTTGCTAACCTTCCCCCTCCCCTTTTTTCCCTCCCTAATAATGCCTCTTATGACATACATGGTTGGTGAAACTATGCTTTCCTTTCTTTTATTTTGTTCTTTTTTTCCCCCTACTGCTTATGCAACAGAGAGGAGTTCAAAGCAGTTTCCTCTCTTATTCTAGTAAAGCCTGTGTTAATGTCATACTGTGTTTCTGTAGTGTCTCATTCAATCCATCCACCCGTCTGTTTCTTGGTCGGCCTATTGACTTGTAACCTGCTGTTCTCGTGTTAATGCTGCACTGTGTTTTTGTAGTGTCTCCTTTATTCCCTTCACCCGTATGTTTCTTGGTAAATCTCTTTACTTGTAGCCTGCTGTTCTCATATAGTAAGCTCTAGCTGATTGACCAGGTGCCGAAACCAGTTGATTCGTTGACTGTTGACTGACGTTCTGATAAGTAACAATGAGAATTTTCAGCCGGTGAATTGCGAAGAAGAAAAAGATAATCTTGTCTACCATATGTATTATTACTATAAACAGGAAAGAAGCAGCCTTGTGCTTTAGTTCTGAGAAAACAATCGTTGGTATCTAAGGCCTTACTTCATTTGTATTTCTTGTTGTAGTTCAGCTCGTAATTTTTCCAGCTCGAATTCAGTGACGTTCGCCATCTTGTTTCCGCTGTCAACGTTGCTATGCTTCCTGGGCTCGTGCCAAAACAAACGGGGCCACGGCTCTTCAAGTTATGCAGTACCACAGGCGCCGGCACCAAGAAGCCAGGGTCCTTTGAGACCCCGAAAAAAAATTGTTTAGGGGCTGAGCCTTCCCCCCCCCCCCCCCCCCCAAAAAAAAACCGGCTCATTTTAAACATCACTGCAGGGACATAACTTGACTTCAAGTAAACCGTAAACCCAGCACTGAAACTGAAATCGTCAAGACTGGGTTTGCAAACCCCCCCCCCCCCCCCCTTTTTCCCCAACAAAAATGTGCCTACACAATGTGCAAGGTGTTGAGTAGCGCATAGTTGGTGGCGGGGTGGTTTCCTAGTGTTTTCTTACCTCCTGTGAGGGGGTGGGGGCGGGGTCTGAAACTCCACTCAATTGTTTGCCGGTGTGGTGAGGAGGGCGTGGTTAGGGAGGCGACAGAACACCCATCACCCGAAGTGTTTATTTGATTTTATTTGTGTGTGGCCAGGGGAAGGGTGGATTCCTTGTGTCCTCAATTATTACATAGAAAATGTGTAAAGCAAGAGGGATAGAGTTTAATCCCTGTTTAAGTGCGCAATTATTATTATTTGACCAGCATTATTATTGGCTTTTTTTTCTGTTTAGCGACCACAACACGCGAAATTTAGGTATATCTCATATTATCGGGGGGGGGGGGTGAGGGGGGTAAGGTTAGTGTAAGTTTTAAATGAATGGCGACTACTACGAATTCTAACCCTAACCCCCCCCCCCCCCCCCACCCACCGCCTTATAATATGGAATGTCCCTAAATCTCGCGTGATGTTGTCGCTAAACAGAAAAGAACCTTATTATTATTTGTTGAATGGCAAATAAATAAAATAATGTGTCTTAAATAACAAATTAACTGTGTTGTTTAGGATTTGTTTTAATCTCTCCCCCCCCCCCCCCCCCCCAGCCTTAATTTTTTTTAATCGCTTACAGATGATCAAACTCGGGTCTCCCGCATGACAGCCCAGGGTTTTAACGATTCGGCCAGCTTGTTTGTTTTTCTTAACGTTTAACCCTCTGGCGGAAAGTTCTGGTGTTTTTTGTTAACTTCTGGACTTAAGTCTTTTTTCCTAAACTTGAGTTTTACAGCATACCAATTTTACAGATCTGACAGAAAACGGAAAATCCTACGCAATTAAGTTTAAAATCACCATCTTTTTTCAGGCTACCGGAGTGAAAGGGTTAATTGCTCGCTAGGCATTGGTATTAAAAACACAAATGTAGCCACAGGCACAAAAGGAAACAATATGCTTCTAACAGCATCATTGGTGGAAAATGCTGCAAAAAAAATTTCAGTCAACTCATTTCAGGGATTGGAGGTATCTAAAACTATGAAATCTAATAAGGTCTAAAGTGAACTAAAAACATTGATAACATTGTTTGTAAAAAGTAAGGTTTCCCTTCCCATACATATTGGGAGAATAGGGCTAGACCTATATTTTTATAGACCAATTGTAGGGGGACGTGGTCAGCACCACACCGGTCGCCTTTACTTCCGAGGACTGCATCTGGTACCCAATCAAGGCTAGGCTGACCTGAGAGTCAATGTCACTTTTGAAAAAAATTGTCTGGCTCCCTCAGGGCGCGAACCCTCGATTTACCAAACTGCAGGCGGGCGTCTAGCCGCCAACGCCACGGCGACTTCCCGATAGCATTGTTATGTGACGCAAGCGTTTGCCTGGCTCGAAACACAAAAATACACCCGCGTATGTATTATACTCAGTGATTCAATGAGTATGATCCGGAGGGTTCAGGCAGGTTCGGTACGAAGACATTGGCTTGAATCATTACAGAAGTCCACTGTGCGTGGAGTCACTTTTATTTTTGTTCCGGGACACGCAGGCGTCGATGGAAATGAAAGAGCTGACAGGTTAGCTGTATACGCTATCACTACCGACGGTCAGCCTATGGATCATGCTGATATTATTAATGCCCTCAGAGAATGGCCAGAATGGCAGACTTGGGAATTAAGATCGGCATAGCAAAAAACGAGACGCACACCAGACGACTTGTTAATCAACATAGAACTGGTACTATTAGCCATCGGACGTTGGGGTTCATAAAGAGGGGAGGATCTGAGCACCTATGGACATGTCCGGAGTGCAATGATGATAACCCAACTAACTAACTAACTAACTAACTAACTAACTAACTAACTAACTAACTAACTAACTAACTAACTAACTAACTAGCTAGCTAGCTAACTAACTAACTAACTAACTAACTAACTAACTAACTAACTAACTAACTAACCAACTAAGTGTTATATTAACTTTGAAACAACAGAAATAACATATCTATAGCAAATCCTAAACTATAAATAGACGAGACAGGATCAGAAATGACGATATCGGGGAAGAAGCTGGGACAGAACCAGTATCAAATACATCAAATGAAACAGATCAAATGATTTGGACCACCGGATTGTACATCACAGAGAGCCCTTTCACTTGGACATAATGGAAGCAGGGCCAGAGGTCGACCATGCAAGTCACGGACAGATGCAGTATCTGAGGCTGTAAATGGAGTATCTGAGGCTGTAAATGGAGTATCTGAGGCTGTAAATACATGTATCAACGTAGCACACAAAAAAGGCTCGCACCTGATGCCTCTTCAAAACCAGACGCTGAAAAGGCATAACAGGACAGGAAGAAGAAGAAGAAAAAGAAGAAAATGAAGAAAAAGAAGAAGAAAGAAAGAAAGAAAGAAAGAAAGAAAGAAAGAAAGAAAGAAAGAAAGAAAGAAAGAAAGAAAGAAAGAAAGAAAGAAAGAAAGAAAGAAAGAAAGAAAGAAAGAAAGAAAGAAAGAAAGAAAGAAAGAAAGAAAGAAAGAAAGAAAGAAAGAAAGAAAGAAAGAAAGAAAGAAAGAAAGAAAGAAAGGGAAAAAAAAGAATACTAAAACTAGAGCATGATCTACTTACATATCAATGTCGCCATTCTGGGTATCCATCTCACCATTGTCTTCTTCCTGTGAGTCAGAAGACGACAGTGACTTTCTTCTACCGCGCCTTGTTGCATCATTATCTGCGTTCTCATCGTCACTATGGTTACTGCCGCCCTTGTCATCATCGCCGCTGTACTCTTGATCGGAGTAGCCGCCATAATGAGTTTTTATATATACTCGTCTTTCACGGTCGTTATCTTTTGCCAACCTTTGATTTGAATGGCCTTTAGCTTTCCTGTTGTCGTCTTCTTCATCGTTAGAGTTATCACTATTATCATCAACACCATCATCATAAACGTACTTGTTTCTCATTCTTTTGTTGGTGACTGTCTCTTCATGTTCATTGTCACTCACTTTTGAATGTAAGCGACTCTGCTCTCTAGTATTCTTTTTGACGTTGTCCTTATTAATAGACATTCTCTTGTCTTTATGTGACTGTGTTTGTTTGTCAGGCTGTTTATTTCTCATGATGCCTTTGTCGTGTCGAGCCGTTATCTTACTGATGTCCTTCTCACTGGCGTTGTTGCTGTTTTCCTTTCCCTTGTCTCGGTTGGCAGTGGTGTGTTTCCCATTCGTTTCGTATTCATCGTCTGTGTACGTTCGCTTGGCACTGACCTTCTTATCTCCCTTACTGGGATTGTCTTCAATGTTGCGCAACAGAGAAGTATCTTTGGTTTTGTTTCTAGCTGTTGGTCGCTGTTCCTTGTTATATCCGACTATATCAGTATCTTCGCTATCAAAAGCTGAAGAAGTGTTCCTTTTCCCAACATTTGAATTACTAGCTCTGACATTATCATAGGCTGATATCTTGTCTGCGCTGTTCTTCTTCTGCTTCTCTACATTGTTTTTTATATTCGACACACTTTCCCTTTGATGTGTTTTGCTGTCCTTTCCAGCAGACATCAAATTATCCATATCCTCTTCGTCAATTACACCGTCCTTGAACTGGTTCAAACGATCTCTTCCCTTGATCTGCCCGTTCAACGAACTCCCTAACTGCTTTGCCTTAGTTTTAATATTATCGCCACTTTCGTTTATCGGCGGCAGTGGGACTCCGTACTCTTTCCCGCGACTGTTGTAAGTGTCTGTATTTTTCTTGTAATTTTCATTCTTCCTGTCGCCGCCTGCAATTTTCTCGTATCCTTTACGCAGATCAAAGTCTTCACTTGCGTTGTTGCCGTCAAGATGGCGGTTTAACTTGCTCTTGGCATCAGAAGTTACTTGCTGACCAGTTGTTTTTCCAAAAGATGCAGCGGTATCCATGGCTTTGCTGCTATTACCAGCACTGAAGGCTTTCGAAAACATGTCTATAGAAACCGTTTCTTAAATATGTATTAGCGTCCTTGTTTTTAATTCTATAGTTTTCAAGTGTATTCGTTAAAAAAAAATTTCGTCGAAATGTTCGATTAAGTGTGTATCTTTTAATTGTCATAGAATTCCTAGTAATAAAACACGTTCACTTGCTAAACAGTTGCCGTAAGGGTGTCGAAATTATACAGAATAGAGAACAATTATTGTGGTCCGCCCAGGCTCTGTCAGAGGACACGCTCTTTGGAGAAGTCAGCAACCTCAAGTGGCTTACTGATTTCTTTAAATATATTCACAAGGACGTCGGAACCTATACGAAGAAAATAAGAACAATTTACATTCTTCGCGAGAAGCTTATTTGCATCTATGACTGTAGCTTGGCAGTTGATAACAAATAGATTACGAAACGTATAATTTGGTTGATAAAAATCTTCAATATCACAAGAAATATTGTCCTAATTTAAAATGATGTTTGTCACAACGCTGGTTTCTGTCACTGCAAGATACTAAAACATAGTCCGTTTTCGTTGCCTAAACCTTCTCTGGCTAGTTTCGTTTCAGCACGGGCTCAAGTGATGTTGTTTCCAAAATCCATAGAGACCGCACAACAAAGATCCCAGAACGGAGAGGAGATGAAAAGACTGCAGCAAACACGAACATCAATTTTGTAGTAAACACACATCAAC